CATTCCGCCCAGGCACAGTTGCTGTTGCGCGGCCCTGGCCGGTGGCACACTGACAGGAAAGCTATAGGTGTCGGGTACTGGGAGGGCCCTGGTATACAGCTGCTGGTGGGGCAGCTTTTACTTGGCACATATCAGTGCGGACTGTACCGAACTCCATGCGATACCTGCGGGGGCGGCTGCAGGGGCTCGGATCTGGAGGCTATAGCAGCTTTGTGTTCAATGATTCGACCGCGCTTTCAGCGGGCATGGTTAGATGGCAGTACAATGCCCAAACCGGGGCACAGCGGTGCCAGCACACGCCACCAGCAGTGGAGCTTGCGTCAGGGAGGACCCCACCTGCACCGATGAGCTATACAGTGTTGGCTGCGAGGGAGCCGGTGGTGTGGGGGGACGGATCCGACCGTCCCTGCGGGACTTGGCCAGCATCAGTCCCTTTCACAGATGAGGCGGACACCATTGTGGTACGCAGCCAGGACGCGCTTACGGAGGGCCCTCCCCGCAGCCGCGGATTGTCGGACGCTGCTCTCCCTGCCAGTGTCACTATGCCCGGGCTCCATCCGCATCAACATAGATGGGTTCGACAATATGAAATCGTCGATTTTGCGGATCGAGCCATGCGGCTGCGCTGCTGCACGGAAGCGGAAGCTTGGCGGCTTAGTCTCAATCCGCTAGTCGCTTTCGCCGCTGCCTTGAAGCTTTGCGAGCCTTTGCACGGAAGGCTTCACCTACGACTTGTCGTGGCCAGAACTGGCTCGTCGGCAGGTGTGGTGGTGGCCATTACTCGATGAGATTTTGCCCGACAACAGGATCTACTGCCGCTGGCCGTACAGGACCGAGCGCAAGGAGCGCGAGACTCGAACTTCATACATGCGGCGCTGGAAATGCGCAATTGCACGCAGCGTGGTTCCCCCCTCTCCGATTCTAGCGCAGTGGAGCTCTGCTACCGGCACAGGTCCTTGTGTTTGTGCTGCGAGAACTATTGGATCGGCCGCAGGCATTCCCACACCCCTACAGGTACTTGCGGTATTCCATGACGAGGATCGTGAAGCAGGGCCCGAAAATAAAAATCGTGCCAACTGCATCGGGGTGCGTATTGCTGTTTCCATCCCAGCCACAGAACTGTGTCCGCTTCAGCAAGAGGTTGGGCGACGACTATGGGCCTCCTTTGAGCGCGGTGTGGTCGCAATGCACCATCCTGACGTGCAGCCCTCGAACTTCGCGCACCCTCTATTTATAAGGGAAGATTTGCATCTATCTGCCTATCTCGCCCGTGCGTGCGTCATGGTGGACAGTCGGGCGGTTTCGATTTGCGAGCCATACTCCCTCTTTGGCTGCCAGGACCGCGTCCAATTAAGCTGTGGTTCCCTGGCCGGTATGTGGTCAGCACTCGACAAGCGGAAATCATTCGCCAAGACTTCGCGAGTGTGGACCCGGAATCTGGCATCCATGCGCCCTTCTATATCCTTCCACGCCCGAGGAGTGGTCCCGCGCCTCAGCCAGCCATGTTCCGGGCGCAGAGGGGGCTGGGCCGAGGATTGGAGTGTCCTTTTGCAGGATACCAACTGCACCCGATAAGTATCATGCAGGCAACGCCCAGCCCGTTTACTTCAATCATCGCCAACTGAGTACCCGGTGGCATCAGCACGATTGGCGGCTTCTGCACGCCCTCAATGATTGCCACATGGAACATGGAGAAGAATGGCGGCGGTGCCTGACGGACGCTGCAAGGCGGTGGTGGGCGCATTATCAGTGACAGCGAGACGCTCTCGGGGCGAGCGTCCCTGACATCCGGCTTGGAGGCGCTCTCGCCACGAATGGGCGCGAGCCCGCGCCCTGGTTTCGATTTCGATATGGGGTGCCTGCTTATTTCTCATTGGGGAGGCCCTACTTCTGTAAATCCTGTACAGAGGAGGCTTTCAACGCATGCATGGAGCGCCCGGAGCGTGGCGTGCCAAGCTACCAGAGTGCTCGTCGCTGCTACAAAAAGACCGACTTGAGCTTGGGAGCCTAGCCTCAAACACACGGCGCCTTGACAACGGGAGGGAAGTTCTTGCTCGAGGGTGGGCTTGTTAGATTCCCCTCTAAACGGCCCTAAACCGTGTGATCAGGGCATTCATGACTTGGATCAATGGGGGCTTACTCTCCCCTGGGGCGCCAGCGGCATACCTATGCATATATCGCCCATTTGCGGGATGCGCCAACGACTGCCTTCGTGCACAACTGAAATCGTAATAGGGAGTCCTACGGTCCAGGCATACCCAAGACCCTCATAGCGCCGTTGTACATCCCCTTACAGGCGCCCATGCAAATCGCTGTGCAGAAGTTTTTTCGGGCCCATGTACTAATAATCCTAAATGCAAAACCCTTATCACCCCCGAACCCTGAACCCCTAAACCCCTAAATCCGAAAAGGCTTGGGACGGACCCTCAGGGTCAGATGATGTTTGATCGCGCATTTTCAGACGGGTGTTTCCCAAAATAGGGGACGCGAAAATAATCCAATACAGTACCCTAAGTAGTAGGATCCTTATTATAATGTACCCCTTATTTTCGAGAAGTCCCAGATGAGCTTCATTTTGGAAGCGAGGCATCGTTCCTGTTCTAAGGCATGGAAGGCTGATAGCGTTTAGGGTTATTTATCGTTAATGCCTTAGGGTTTGGGGTTCAGGATTAACATCCCTCGCATTGTGATCTGACACAGACTGCTGTGTTTGAAACAGAACCGAGGCACGGGAAGATCCCATCGTGGCACACGCCGCTTACAACTGCCTGGACAGCTGGATGCTGGGTCATGATGAGTACGATTTTCCTTTCTAGCTGCAGGTCATAGGGTAACAGACTGTGCCACAGACCATAGACCCGCCTAAACCCCTGTGCGGTGCGACTTGACAGCTGGGGGACGCGTAGGGTTGTATTGTAGGGGCCTTAGTAATTACAATGGGTTCTGGGCTCCTTTATATACTATAGTTATCACAGGGAGCCTTATAAGGAAGGCTATTGGTGATTTTTTGGGCTTCCATAGTAAATACTTCCATCCCACTTCGCCGTCATGAGCTCTTTAGGTTCTTAGAGGGGTAAAAGTTTACCCTAAGCCCTAAAACTTCAGGGTTTGGCGTTTGGGAAGTCTTTGAGTGGGATCGTTGTCAAGACCGGAGGCTGTGAGACTAGAGCCACGCAGAACCCTAAATCCGGAAGAGTAATACAGGGGCCTGAACAATTCGAATAGGGCTTGGGGGTATATCATACTTTCAGTTTTTAAGGAGCCCTATGGAATCTCAGAAAGATTTACCTATAGTCTCCTTTGTAGTTCGTTTCTTGTGGCTACCGTATATTACCCTAATTATGAAGTGTTAAAGCAAAAGAATGAGCACAATGGAAACTATAGGTAGCTCACACCGCATCGCCTTGGACAGCGCCCAGGTCGTGGTCTAGGCCGGACCACTGCCTGTGCATGTGGCGCCTGCTTTGCCTCAAGGCCAATCCCGGCGCTAGCGAGCATCTCCGACCTAACTTTTGCCCTGAGGATGGCAGGTATGAAAACAAGGAGTTATATACTTTGAATTATAATAGGGTCCTTAATTTTATAATTTCAAGGTAGATTCCTTAATTAAAGGGTTTTGGAGTCTCTGGGCTTTGCAGCGGAAGCGGAGCTCTGTTCCGTGTCTCTCTGTCGGCACTTGCGGGTTGGTTTGCAAATTTGGGCATGAAGTTCTGAGATTTCTGAATCAATGCCTGTTGAATGCCAGAGTATCTTCTTATGCATGAGTCTTATTAGCAGGGAGAGCGCCACGTGAGATCACTGGACGTTTGTACGGCAAAATTTGCACGTGGCTACGGCTTCATGCTTTCAACCTTCCTCGGCCACACCCCGCCTGCATTCCCAACGCATGGAAGCAATAGTCATGAGGGGGTGGCTGAGGGATCATCCGAGACCTGAGGGAAGGGCTGGGCACGAGCTGAGAAAGTACAAGCTGTCTTTCTTCGACACCTCAACATGAAAGCGGCATATTCACGGAACCCGAAGTTTGTGGTATGTCTCTACAGACCAGGGTTCATCCAGGCTCGACCGGGTCCTCACAGGGTCTCCTGTGTGTGTTCGAACGTCACAAGGCACACCTGTGTAGGCTTGTCAAGTGGTTTGTTCTTTCACAAGCTCTGTAAGGAGCTTCCTGAATGTTGGATGAAAGTGAGCTCTACTTAGGATAGCCTGATGGGGTGTTTATTTTTGGCTTTGGCATGTTCATTTTGTATACAGGGTTGGAAAAGCCTTAAATCCTACAGTCCCTATCCATACGCCAGCCCCCCCCCGCAAGTGCTACGGCTAAGGTTTCCATAGGGCAATAGGTTTATGGCCCCACAAATCTGAATACTAGCGGTTTAGGGTTTAGGGTTTCGGGTTTAGGTTTGGCAGTTGGCTGTAGGAGACTGCAGGATCGAGGTTTCGAAGCTGAGGGTTCGACTTATGATTGTGGCTGAAGATACGGCATGAATGTGACATGTTGGGTTACAGAAGTTGATAAGTCTTGCATATTATAGGAGTTTTAGAGGGTAGAGGGTGCAGGGTTCAGCTCTGACGTCTACGACTTACGTTCTTGGCCTTGGGGGCATGGGGAAATTTCGGGTTTGCGGACCTCTGCGGTCCAATCCCGGAAGTTGGGTGTCAGAGTGCCCTTGTCTTCCACAATGCCGAAAGCTGGCCCGACGTTTGCTTGATTGTTTTGCTCAAAAAAACAGGTGTCGTATCGGAATTTGAACATTTAGTAGTATCATTTATGCATCGCAGACCCCCTTGTTAAAATACCGCTCAGCCCTAAACCCTACGCGTGCTAGTTGAAGAGCAGAAAGCTAGTAACGAGGGAGCTGTCTAAGGCGTCAGTGTTACTAACTTCTGCCTTTAGTTTAAGCGCTTCATGAGCCTGCGTCCTCTTTGTTGCCCTGTGCCCCAAGCTGTAGATATACTAGGCCTAGCAAAACAGGCTTTCCTAGCGGAATGGCCATGAGATGGACGTGATGCCTGGAAACAGAGGCGGCTGTGGAATTCAATTTGCTTGGGTTTAAGCCGCAAGCATGAATCTTCCAAGCCGAAGTGCCAGAGGGTCGGACATGCTTTCAAGTTTGATTCCGTTTCGGGGACTCTATTTCAATCAAGGTTCAACCAGAGTTTGCCAAGTTCCCGCAGCCTCAACAGTACCCAGACTGTATAGGCCCTAGACTCACGTGCATCCCTGATCGAAAAGTTGGAAAGTAGACAAACTACTATCACTTAGGAGTTTTCGGTGCTTGCTGGAGAAACCAATTGAATCACCGCCGACTGCGAAGCCCAAGACGGTTGGATGCATACAGCTTTGAATCCCACAAAAGCCCACACCACAAGCCGCAAGCCACAAGACGTCTTCCGTTCTATGAGCCTGAACCTTAATCCTTCGCCATATAAGCCTTTCAACCCCGACACCAATTACTTTACCTGAAGCTGTACCATAAACACCCTCAACTTGTGCGAGGATCCGGCTACCAGCCTGCTGATGCAGCTGGCCACTTCGTGTCGCAGCCACAGGCTGGTAGAGAGAGGGCTCTCCCAGAACGCGAGACCTGAAACTCTCAATCCTAAACCCCTCTCCTTAAATTTGGTTAGTAGGGAATGGAAGAAGGGTAGTAATCGTAGTTATAATTGTACCCCTTTCTTCCATTCCCTACTAACCAAAGGTAAGTCTCCGCGGGCTTTGTGGAGGAAAGGTTGGGTTTAAGGGGGGCCGTTGTGTTCGGGAAGATGCTCAACCCCTAAGCAACTGCAAGCTCAAGACCCACTTCACTTGCCGAAGGCATCGGCAACGCAGGAAGCCTAAGAGGGAATGTACCAACACCCGCGGCCCGAAGGGCAGAATCCACAACCGCAGCACCAACAAAGAAACAAGACCCAGAGCCCGAAAACAACATTGTATAGGGTCTAGGGCCTAGGGTTTAGGGTTTAGGAGCCCCGACTGTAGAGCAGGCACCCACCGGCGCCCAAGATGTTTTTGACTTTGAGGAGCTGGAGACGGACCGGTCTTGCTCTGCTTGTTGCTGTGGTTTGTGATTTTCTTGTCGGCTTGGTGCTGGGATGTGAAGTATTCGGTGTTTCCTTGCAGGAACTGTTGGGGAACGACGGTTTAGACGTGTTGTCTTTTTTTGGAGTGGAGCGCTTGGGCAGGGTAGACCCTAAAGTAGCACTTGGGGTTGTGCGGTTTAGGGTTTAGGGTTTACGCTCTGAGTTCAGGGCTGGGGCATAGGTGGTGAGTGGTGAGGTCTGGGCCTGGGGATGAGGGTTGTGCAAGCTTCAGCTGCTGCCCTTGCCGTGCACAAACTTGTGAGGGGATGCAGCCCTGGTTCGTTTCATGGTATATAGTTACTGTGTCACGAACACACTGAGGCCCAGATGCGCAGGGTTCGGATTGTGAAGGGAAGCAGAGTGGTACTCGTACCGGTGGACAATATCAGTATCACACTACATCGGGGCCCTAACCCCAAGATCTGCAAAGCGAAGCTTTGAATCCTCTAACCAGTCTCTAACCCCTGGCTCCCAAGCCTCCGCCGCGCGCCCTCCAGCCTCAAGCCAAGTCTGACCTTGCTTCTTACCGTTGGCTGGTAGGGAATGGAAGAATGGTAGTAATAGTGGTTATAATCGTACCCCATTCTGCCATTCCCTACTAACCAAAGGTAAGGCTTAAGGACAGGAACAGACCACGGATGACCACGACGATCAACGATCAGGACAAACGCGAAAGAAACGACCTAAGCCTCTAAACCTCTTCATCCAAAACCCCAAACCCCAAGCCCCTAAACTTATTTGCGGAGCATCTCGTGGCAAGGATCCCAGCGAGCGACGCCCCGGCGGTAGCCTGGCCAAGCGGCTGTGGTCAGCGTCCCCAGAGGCAAGTTTAGTAATAGAGCCCCCCCTCCCCGACCAAAGCTTTTGGCTTGAATAGTCTGGTGTCCGGAGTCCGTTGACTCCCGGACCGGGGTCTGGGTGGCTTTGATTTAGTTACAAGGCAATTGGGGAGGGGTTCGAGGTTTTGGGGTTGAGGGCACTCGAGATCAGGGTTGAGGGCAGTTGATTAAGCTCAAAGGTGGTGATTTAGGGTTTAGGCTTTAGCAGGTGGGGTTTCGGTAGAAAGCTTGGAGCTTCAGGGCCAGGGTTTTAGGGTTTGGCCAGGGATTTAGGTCGTCGGTGCCTTAAGATTGACCATCGGCAGACAGGACAGTCACCCCCAAAACATCCACCAGCCAAAGAAAAAACGCATTAATTAGCCCGCCCGTTTTCTTTGGTCCCGGGAAAGACGCATGATAGAGCCCCATTGGATTATTTGGGCCGTGACATTAGGGATTAATTGAGGAAGGCGTTTTCTTCAGGGTTTCGCGAGCGTTTCAAGGAGGTTTAAGCTTAATCAGCCTCAGGGGTTTACCCAACCGTTGTTTTTTGGTGGTTGAGTGGGGGTGCTTGTGGTGTCAGACGCTGGTGGAGCCCCAAACCAGGAACCACCCCCCCAACCCGCCTGAGCCTCTAGCACAGAAGTTGTCCGCCTGTCTTACTCCGAACCCCTGTTAAGGGAATGCTAGCACTCTCGGGATACTAAGCCACGGAGGGGTCTATCTATATCTCGAGATTTCAATCCTTCTCGTCGTGTCTTCGATGCCTTCCGTCCGGCACAGGTGCGCCAGTGGAAGTGGGTTTCCGTGGGGCTTGTCTTCTTAGCTGCAGCTTGGCATGGCTGAAGGGTCCAGGCTTATACGATTCGGATGGGTCAAAGATTATGTTCCGGGCCAAAGGTCTAGCACTTTCTGCTACCCAGAGGAGCGGAAGTCAGAGACATGCAACGTTGTTTGTGCTCTCAGCGCATGACGTTAGAAGCATTATTACATAGGGTTTGGGCGATTTGCATTCTATGGCCTCAGGGAGGGTTTACATGTTTTCAGCCTCGGGTCATGCGGAGTGTGTGTCTTTCGTTTTTGTCTTGAGGTGTATGATTTACAAGCTTGTCAGAAGGTGATGTTTCCTGGCGATTGATTACTGTACATAAGTGTACTTAGGCCACCCTACCCCCCACCCTATAGCCCTAAGATGCCCCCCGAGCGCCACCAGGGCTTCGCGGTAAGACATAGGCCAGCAAGCCAATGCCAGCTTCGAGAGATCAGGCCCGAGAGTATCATCTCGCCCTAGCACTACAATGCGCGCAAAATTGAGGATTAAAGATTCAAAACAGAAACAGATGGTGCAGGGGTTAGTTTAGGGTTCAGGGACCCTAAATTCTAATCCCCAAACGGCAAACCCTAAACCCCAAGCCCTACACCCTAAACTCTAAACCCTAAACCCATAAGTCCTGAGAGGGATTGTGATGAGTGGTGAATCAACCACACCTGCCCTCCCCAGGGGGATTTCCGATGAGCAAACGGATCTGCTGGTTGAAAAAGGGGCGCTTAAAAAAACAAAAACCTAAACCCTAACCTCTAAACCCTAAACTCTACACCCCGAAGCCCCCCCCGGAAGTTGTCCATCGGATTTTCGGATGTTCATCTTCCGAGGCCTTCTTCCTGCAGAGCCTTTCTCTGTACTTCGCCGCTTGGCGGTGATGTTCTGGGAGGGCGCGGCTTTTTTGGGTTCTGAGGGCTTAGGGGCTTAAGGGTTTAAGGGTTTAGGGGTTCAGGGGTTCAGGGGTTTGGGGGCTTAGGATTTGGGGTTCAGGGGTTTGACTCCCCACAAATTGAGGGGAGGTGGCCGTTGCTGTCTTGGGCAGAGGATGGCGCCCTAAGCTTTCATGCTCGTCGGAGCTACGAATCCGGGAGTAACTTCAGAATTCTGTCTGGTAATACCAGGTCTTACAGGGGTAGTCATAACCCTGAACCCGAACCCCATAGTCATTCAATCCCAGAAAGTGGACTGAATGCGCGGTCTTGAAGTTCAAGGTTGAGCAGCTCGGGCTTAGGCAAAGCTGCGCTGTTGAGTACGTCTACGACCGCGTTTGCAGCGCAGCATGGCGCTGCGCACCCCAAACCTTGAACTCCAACATGTTAAGACGTGTCCTCCCTGAGCGATAGAATTGACTCCACGCTTCTCCAATGGCCTTGCGACCACCCCCTATACTAGCAGGGTTGAATTAGGGTGTGGGGGTGAAGAGTTCATGGTTTAGGGTTTGGGGTTACCAAAGCAGCGCCATCCGGAAGAGGCCACACGCCGCTATGTTCGGTGGGTGGGTGGTCTGACTGCCACACGGCTGCCAACATGGTTTCTTCTGGCTTATGGAGATACTCGAGCCATTGGGGATGGGTTTCAGTTCCCAGAGGGTCCATATATATATATATATATATATATATATATATATATACATACCACCACTATGGAATTAGGTCCCTCAAAACCATCACTATTATGGTTTTGGGGTCTCAATTCCATAATAGCAGTATATCTAGACCCTCTTGGGTTGGGATTCAGTTAAGCCCACAAAGCCTTAATCTCTGAAGCTTCAGCTCCTCCACGCTAGACCCAATGCCCGGTACGGTGTTAACATCTTTTGAGTGTGTTGGGAGTGTGGGAGACAGCTTTGTCAGGCCACGTCCGTACGTACATAATTCGTGAGTTGCCTGCTAGTTGCAGGTTCAGAGTACTCAACTGCAACTTATGCTTCAGGCAGCTTTTGGCGTTGGAGATTTGGGGGTTTCGGGTATCGAGGGTGCGTTTCCGGGTACGGGTATTCTGAATGTCTTGTCTTTACAACCCAATTGTGTCGAGTGTCATTTTGTTATTGTTGGCTTCGATTTTCAATCCTAATGGACTAAACCCTGAACCCTGACCTAAACCCTAACCCTACACCCTAAGTGGACCAGTTGAAAATCCTCCTCCTCGCCCATTTTAAGACCGAGGGCTTTGGAGGTTTTAGGTTTTGGACAACAAAGGCACCTAAACCCGAAACCCCAAAGCTTCAGACTCAGACTGGAGACCCTATGAGCCCTAAACCCTAGAGACCCTAAGGGCTTGAATCCGCAACTGAAGTTCGATTTTCGAGTCGATGCCCAAAATCCTCAACCCGCAGGCTCCTCAGCCCTGAAGCCCAAACCACCTTTGAGGCGAAGCCCTGAACCTTAAAGAGCTCCGAGACCCTTCGAGGAAGAGCCCAGCCCCCAGAAGGAAGCCTAAGATCGTGAGCCCTCGACCCGGAAGGTTTTTGGGGGGGAAGGCCACTGAGCAGCCCAAAACTCACGAAAGCCCTAAACCTTAGACCCCAAACCCTAACACCCCAAAGCCCTAAACCCTAACACCCTAACACCCAGCGCCCCAAATACTATTCCATAAATCCTAACATCCCAAAACCCTAAACCCTAAGACCCCCCAATGCCCTGAACCAGGACAAGGCCAAAGAGCACCATGCTTCGCACTTTGGGGATCGCAGTCAGCATCCGCAGCTGGACATGTTGGTGCTGAGGCCTGGGAATCGGGCGATGGGTCTTACGGTTAAGGTTTAGGCTTTAGGGTTTAGGGTTCAGGGTTGGAACAAGAGTTTCCTCTAGATCTTTTTCTGATTTTTGTGCTTTGGGGTTTTGAGGTTCGGGAAGTTTGTTTTCCGAAGATGTTGAAGTTAAAAGGGCCTAGGGATCATAGAGCGTTTGATCTTTGGGCGTCCGTGTTTTCAGTTTACTTCGGGTTTCGGTATTTTTTATAAGGGGGCTTGTGCGGGATTTGGGCCTTTTTGATGGAAGCCCTGCGGGTTCGGGATTTGTGGTTCGAGATTGTGGCCTCAGGACTCAGAACCTTGTTCTGACTATCAAGGCTGTTTGCTATCTAGGGAGTTGAAGACAGGGCTGGTCAAGCTTCACTCAGGCGGATGTTTAGGCTTTGTGGTTGAATGGTTTATGAGTTTCTGGACTCCTGAACCTCAGCGCTATACTTTCAAAAAAGGGACACCTGAATCCCAACCCCCCAATATCTCAGGCCCTAACCCTCAACCACAAACAAACAGCTGCCTTGTTGAAAGCATGGTAAAGACACGTAAACGGTGAGTACATACCTACTATTATGGAATTTTTCACCCAAAAACATTCATTAGAATGGTCTTGAGGGCCTAATTCCAAAATGGTCGTATCTTTTGGACCCTCCAATATTGTTGCTTGCATTCCGGAATATGTTCATAGTTTATGATAAAAAGATAAGGCAAACCCTATTCTAATTATTCAATGTATATAGTATAAGATGCCCACCAGACCTTAGTCTAATTCTGAGGCCATTATTGAGGCCCCTATATGAGGTTTGTGATGGTTTCTTCCGCAGCCCTAGAGCGGCCGCAGGCTTCTTCAGCCCAGGGACACCGTGGGTGAGATGCTGAACGTAGGAGACGGTGTGGCTCTGCCTCAATCTGGATTTTAGGGTTTAGGTTCTCAAGGGGTTTAGGGTTTAGATTTTCTGGATGTTAATCAAAGGAGTTGACAGGAGTTGTGATCATTTCAGGTAGCATAGCCGGGTGACACTGTAAATCATGGGTTTCCCTGCCATTAAGGCTTCAACCAGGTGCAGTTAAACAGAAGCCCAGTTGTTGGTTGTTTGTTTTGATGGTTTTCAGAAGGTTCAGGGATGTTAAGCGCTTGCAAGCCCTTATTCCCTTTTTTAGGGTTCCTTGAAGGGAAATCTGAATCTGAGCCCTAACACAGGGCTTGGTTTGGGTTTAAAGGTGCTTATCAGTTATAAGCCCCCTTAAACCAAAAAGGGCACCCTGGTTCTTCCTAGGTTACTTTTAGGTCTATTATGAAGCAAATCACTGGCCCGGAAAAGCGAAGCCAAAGACTCAAAGCTTTGAAGTCCCATGATCCTTCTTTCAGTAGACCTGGAGCCGCTAGGCCGCGAGACCCACCAATCCTGAACCCTCCCCAGGCTGCAAGGGGTGTTATAAGTTCCCTAATATGGGTGATACGCATAGCTACCGTACTTGTCACCCTACTTATAGCTACCCCTGAACCTCCAAGTGGGGCTTGAAGCGTAGGGTAGTACCGGAGCCCGAAGCGAACCCGTGTGGCTCAGGGAGTTCGGGCTTTGAGTTGAGCAGGGGTTTGTCGTTTCAGGCTTCAAGGTTCATTGTTGAGGTTTGCTTTGAAGGTGAGAATGAGGTTTCAGGGTTGAAGGGTTTCGGTTCTTGGGGTCAGATAGAGGGACTGGCAGGGCTTAGGATGGTCTTTGCTGAGTTTGGATTGGTGGTGTTGGATGTTGAAGTCGCCGAGGTGTCGAAAATGCCCTTCGATATCCTCCTTTCCGTGCTTCTGGGCAGCAGCTTGATGTCTTCCAAAGGACCGACCCGCAGTGGTGGAACCTTGTTCCAGCATGCTTGCGCCGGCCTCTCAAGAGATTGAACCCGAGTTGCACATACGCTGAAGTCCAATGCCAAACAACCCTAAACGTTTACACCCCCAGACCTGGAAGCCCTTAGCTTCAAGTCCGAAACGGCAATCCATGAGACCTAAGCCTTAAAGCCTAAATCCTACGCCCTGCGGTTGTAGGTTGCAGGCAGTCCCGCCATGTTCGTCATTTGCATTGAACTTATATAGCACCCACCATTGTACTCCTAAGCCTCTTCTTGCTGTGGTTAAGTTCTGAATACCGCTCATATGCAGAACTCGCATGTGCACACGAGATGCGCGGAGTCTTAGCAATGCTCTGGCTCGTCCCCATGGCGTCAGCTGATGGAGAAGTGACTACCTCGCTGCCTCCCTCAGGGTCTTGCGACTGCTCTTGCTATTGGAATGGCTATTATTGTGGGCCGACTGGGGCCGCCGACAAACGCTGTGAGGCGAGCAACCGTGACATGTCGTTCCCTTACTGCTACGATGATGGCAGCGGAGAGGATGACCTGTATTCCGGCACCGTCAATGATGAAGCTGGACCCTGTTGCGAGCGCGAAACCGAGGCTGCTGTAAGCTTGTCTAAGACATGCGAGCCTATCTTGAGATGGTGTCTCACAGTGACCGCCTTTGCCGGTTTGTTGTGACGCCGCCGCTGGTGTCGTGCCACAACGGCACTATGAGGAGAGATGTCTCACTCAGTGCATGGGAAGACCCGAACCACGTGCCTTCAAACCCCAAGCTCATGACACCTGACAGACGTCGTAAGGCGGCATGATGATCATCGTTGCAAAGAGTACTGCTGCTCTTGATCTACTGCTATATGCAGTTGCGGTGGGATATAGTACCCGTTGACCAGACATGCCTCTTCCTCGTGCGACACCGGCGGCATTGAAGCGGCTGCCTCTTTCGCTACGAACACGACGACCCATGACTACTTCTAGTTGTGAGAATGACTTCTCTCAAAAGCAGCGACTGCTCCTTTCCGGAGGCTCCTTTGTAGAGAGTGCTAGGATATAATATAATATAATACAATATAATAGAATATAATTTTATATAACATAATATAATATAATATAATTTTATAATATAATTATACAGGGTCTGTAGGAGAGGGGAGCCGGGTCTGTCGTCTACACCAGCACAAGGCGTCAGCACGGGAGTGCAGTATCGATGAAGGCTCCCACAGCTAGCAAGCAAGCCAAACCCGACCCGAATCCCCTAGACCCTATTTAGGGGTTTAGGGGTTTAGGGGTTTAGGGTTTAGGGTTTAGGCCCCCGCCCTCATCTGTTTCAGGGTTTGGAGTTTGGGGGACTGCCTGCTTGGGCCAAGAGGGGTTAAACTACCAGCCTGAAAGAACCAGCAGCAATCGTATTCTGTGATTCAGGCTCCAACCAGGCCAGTGCCCAACTGATCACTTTGTAGTGGTGCTTTGAAAACCCCTCTTAAACCCTAAACCCTAAACCCTAAACCCTAAACCCTAAACCCTTAACCGTTAGGACGTTTTCGATGAAGGGCTGAAGCCTTCTGCACCCGAAGTCCTAAAACGCAAGCCCTGCAGTCTGGAAAAGCTGAAGTGGCGCCCCAACCTGGCAACCTCCACTCTTGAAGCGGGGTTTAGGGTTTAGGGATCTTTCGACGCTACTTTTCCTTCAGCAGCATACAGGGCTTTCTTTGAGGCGCCTGGCTCCGATAGTTGTAGGTTTTCAGTAGATGGGCTTCCTAGGAGGTTTACACTGGTCGGGGGTTTTAGGGTTGAATCAGAGTTTTCTTTCATGACAAGGCTGCAAATGTAGACTCTGTAGACCCCTGATCTCTGCACTAACCCTAGGGATCTAAGGACTAATATATTAAGGTTTTTGGGCCCAAAGACCATACTATATAAGGCTTTTGGGCTATTTTGATCCCCAGGGTAAATGTTCAACCTTTCAGCCAGAAAGATTGACCTGGACGCACGCCTACAGTTCGAAGCCGACAAACCGGCCGAAAGGACAGAGACTTCTGTAAATCCGACAGGCCTGGCGCAGCCTTATAGTGAACCCCAGAAAGTTGGAACATGAGTTAAGGGTGATGAGAGCCGGGATTCCCTATACTTGACAGTGATGTTCCAACTTTCTGGCTTCTACTGTATGGCAAGACCACCCCGCATACCTTTTGCATTTTGAAGTTCCCCTTGCTTCAGAGCTGAATAAGAGGGAAAGTGCACCCCACCCTTACTTTTGGGGGTGTACAGATGACGAGTTCTTCGAGCGAAGGCTTCCTCTCTTCTGGCTGGCAGCCGTCGTCCAGGCAGGGAACATTGGGCTTAGAAAACAGCAGGATTTTGATTCAGAAACCGGGCCTGTAACCCCAAAAAGGCCCAAGGTTTCTTAATCATTAGGGCTTGGGACAGCTGCTTCTGTCGGTCCGGGAATTGTGTGTGGCTGTTTGTCTGAAGAAGGCTATGCTGGGCAAGCCTAGCCATAGGTTTGGTGTGCCCAACAAGAGGGACTATACGGCAGCCAGAAACCGGAGAACCCAGAGCCCCAAACCCAACACCCCAAAGCCCAGCAGCTGTAAATCCGACATTCTGCAAACCGAGCACGAACGAAGCTACCCCTAAACCCTAAACCCTAAACCCTAAACCCTAAACCCTAAACCCTAAACCCTAAACCCTAAACCCTAAACCCGCCCGAAGCCTTCTTTTGCTCCTCTGGTTCACGAGGCCCGAAATCTTCGGCTTTGGCGCCTATGCTTCGAAGAGATAAGACCCGGCGGATTAGGGTTTGGTTTAGGGTTCGGGTTTTAGGGTTTAGGGTTTAGGGGTTTAGGGTGGTTTAGGGTTCGGGTTTTAGGGTTTAAGGTTTAGGGTTTTCGAGGTTTACATATGCGCAGGAGTTCCAAATCGCAGCTAAGCATATCGCAGCCTGGATTTGGTGCATGCATCGCGGTGTACATTTCTGAGGAAGGCTGGTGAGTGCATTGTGATTATTTCTTTTCGGACCCTAGCAGCCCTGGCAAGAGAGACCTGTGTCGCATACGGTTCTGTGGCTTACGTTTAGGAGGCGCAGTTGGGAGCTGGGGGATTATTTGAGTATTCTGCGTGCGTGTAGTAGTATGTGCACATACATCCAGAGCTTACACATAGAGGACAGAGATAGGTGAATCAACGCATCACAGAGATGCCTAGGTACAGGGTTTGAAGATGATGAACGCATATAAGCAGATCAGCAGATGCGCGCGGTTGCGCAGGTAGGCGTGTAGTAAGTAGTACTGAAGTGCGCAGATACCGAGTTCTTCAACTCCTTCAAGAGGATGCGAAAACCCTCGGGCATGACGCCCTGTGCTCCAACCTTATTCAACCCGAAGCCCCAAACCCCTACATCGGCTGAATTAAACACAAAAATCCCCAAGCCTGGAAATCCTGAGTAATACACCCAAAACTCCGAAGGTCGAGATCCGCAAGCCCACGAAAGCCTTATAAAGCCCGAAAATGCGTGTGTCTGTCAGTGTGCGTGTGTGTGTGTGTGTGTGTGTGTGTGTGTGTGTGTGTGTGTGTGTGTCTGCGCGAGCGTGTTATATATGTATGCACTGTGCCTAATAGTGCATATACAAACCCTGCCCAATGCTCCCCAAGGACACGGACCTTGCTTGCGGCCGCTTTTTTGGCACTCCTACGAGGCCTTTTCGGCCGGCATTTGGGTTGGGATGCGGGGACGTAGGGCTTATGGTTCAGGGTTCAGTTTGTTATAGATTCGGGTTATAGTAACGGGTTTGCAATGCAGGGATTGTGATCGGGGCACCCGTAGCCCGAAATCCTAAAAACCATGGCTATCTTGGTTGAAGTCAATCCCCGTTCACCACCAGGCCTGAGTCTGCACAAGCCTCGACCTTCAACAGCACTTCCCCCCGCATTCCCTAACTCTGAAGACTAGGCCCCATAAATCCTAACTCGCACAATGGGTGCTTCATTCTAATCGCTATCGTATAACATACCCCACAAAGACTTCTCTCATTGTTCAGGCCCCTACATGTACCCAGCCTCAAGAGCCTCAGCTCCTGCACCCGACCCAAACGAAAGGACCATGAACACAGACCTGCAGTCGAAACTCCCAAACCCACCTCTTCAACAGTTCTGTGGATTTCCCAATGGTTCTTAGGATTTGGGGTTTGTCGTTTCGGGTTCAGCCGGGCTTCGAGTTTGAGTTTAAGGCTTTCATAAGCTTGCAAAACCTTGCAGAGTCATTTCAACAACCGTTAGAAACTCAGCACCTGCCCGGAAACGCCAAAGCGCAAGCCTCAAGCCCTAAGCCCCACAACCCAACACTGCAGAAAATCCAGAGTATGAGCCCGCAGCCGTAAACCTCAGAGCCCGAGACCTGAAACAAACACGTTGTTAAACAACATAACAACAAGTCATCAAGACTTCTGCAGGACCTAAACAACCCTTACCAATCCAGAAAAAGTAAAGCAATGTCGCAAAGTCCGAAAACCTGCCTCAATCCCAAACCCGACAACTCTAAAACCCGAAAGCGCCAAAACCCCAAAAAGCAACAAGTCTCACAACCCTGAACCCTTAAACCCCTGAGAAACACCCTACAGTCGAAGCCCAAAAGTTGGAAACCCCATAGCCTCAATCCTTAAGAGTAATGCATAGGGAGCTCCAGCACTATTTGGCCTTATTCCGGTTTCCAACTGTATGGAGTCTACTCTAAGCTTCAAATTAAGAGCCCTCAAAGGCCCTCTAGGCTTCAAAGACCGTCGAGAGCGCAGGTCTCCTCTCGAGCTTGACGCTGTTGCCCAACCCATTAGGATGGCAGGGGTGCGAGGCAGCCTCCTGTCTTTGGGGTTCTACGGGGTTTAGAGTTTAATTAGGGTTCTTGGGGTTTTAGGGCTTAGGGTCTAGGGTGCTGTGGGGGTCTCAGGCATCTCCGGGCAAACCCCATACAAAAACGAACTGTTCAACCAACAGTACGCCTGATAAAAACTCTCTTAGCGTTCTGTGGGGTTGTAGGGTTTAGGCTTCTATAACCCTGAACCCTCTTTGAGGGTTCTCTGGGGTGTTGGGGGTGAGGGTTTTAGGGTTCTAGGTGGTTTTCGGGTTTAGGCTTCCGGGGCTTTTGGGGGCAGCCCACCTGAAGGGTTCTATCGGATATTTATCAGGGCTTTAAGGTTGGCAAGGGTTAGGGCTTTTTCGTCAAGGTTATCTGGAAGCACCTTTACGAGTTCTATTTTCTTTGGATGCGGAGGAGGCGGGTTCTCCTTCCTTACGAGTGTTAGAAGGACTTCATGGACCCTCTAAGGCTGACTATAGCGGTCACCTGAATGTTGATGGAGGGGGGGTTCTGTGGTTCTTGGATTTTGGGATGCTGTCAGCTTTATTGGGGGTCTGTGGGGATGCGCAAATGGTTCTGTCACCGGATTCTATTCGGGTGCAGGGGTTGTTGGGTTTGGGGCTTTACTGCTCTTAGGGTTGTCATAGGCTGCTCCAAAAGGATTTCGTAGGAGTTCTGCGGCGCTTCTTGTGTTTGGGCATGCAGGGCTCGGGTTCGGGATGCAGAGTTCAGGGTTTAGTACGGCTTGGCAGTTGGGGGTTTAGGGTTGCTAGGCAGCTTGCTTTTTAGATCGACTATGGTTTAGGATGTAGGACTTGGTGTCCAGAGTTGAGGATGCAGGGTTTCGGATTTCGGCGTTTTCGGGGGGCCGTAGGGTTTTGGACATAGGATGCCGAACAGAATCCCCGAAACCCTAAACCCCAACGAGCTTAGAAGACCCTCAACTTTTGCCGCGAATGCCGCAAGGCGAACTTGCGCCCGGAGGTGATGGCCCACTACCAAGGCTCAGATGTTTCTTTTAGGTTCAGGGTTGAGGGCTAGGGTTACGGGTTTTATCCAGAAAGAATGTACATCTCGAGTATGATACCTTACCGGGTGAGGCCCTTATCAGCGCGTTTCGACTACCACCTTTTGCCGAAGCAGCGCCAACGAGGTTTGGGGTTCTGGGTAAACCCCAAACCCCCAGCCTTAAGCCCCAAATCCTAAAACCCGAGGATTAGGCTTAGGTACTCGGCGATTCCTTGTGGGCTTCGAGGGTAAGGCTGGATTTGAGCTTCGGGGTTTTAGGGATTTCGGGCTCGAGAGCCTCAAGATAGAGGCTGTACTATGCGAGGTGTGCGCGGCAAAGACAAGCGTGACCACAGGGTAGTAAAGGTGTGCCTGTGCCAAAGATGATTGTCGTAGTCAGTGCAGGCCCAAGGCCTAAAGTGCAAAACCCTTCAAGCCCGATGCTCTGAGACCTAAACCCCAACCGAAAAGCGATGTATATTGGGGTCTGAATGAGGTTTAGGGGTTGAGGATGCGGTCACTTAGTCCGGGGTGTTAGTATAGGGATTTCAGGGTGCACCTGTCCGCGCTCAGCTACGTCAGGCCAGCAAGGGTTTGCCGACGTCGCCAAGGACCGCAGTGGCGTGTGGGTTTGTGTTACAGGGTACAAGCTTGAATGAGAGCTTGATGTATCAAAGGTCCACCGATACTGCTGGGTGTTTCTTTTCTTCTGTACTTGTCTTTTGCATTGCTCTGTTGTACAGCCTGAATGGTGTCGGGCGCCTTGCATTGGAGCCCGCCCTACATGCGAAAAGACATTGCGCGCGCCCTATAAATTCAACGTCAAACTTCTAGACCCAAACATGGGTCGTGCGGAAGGTGAAGGGGATTAGGTAAGAGTAATGAGGACGAGGTGTGTGTCTATATACATGTGTGTATATATATATATATATACGCAGACATATATGTGGTTCCTGTGTACGTACATGTGCACATGCCTTTTATCTACAGTTATCATTTATCTAGCTGAATCTAGCAATCTTGGCTGCCTATCTATCTATCTACCGATCTACCGAGTTACGGAGCCGACATCTATCGATCTGTCGGTCGATTGATCGATCGGTCTATCTATCTATTTGCCTATCTATCTATCTATCTATCTGTACACACACACATATACCTATATACATATATATATACATACATATGTATATACACATATACATACATACATTTATGCATATATGTGCTGGGGACTGCTGACTTGAACATACCTCGTTCCTCAAGCCCAAATCTTATGTCCTAAACCGCAGAAAGACCACACCCAGAGCCCCTCCCAGTCTACAACCTCAAACCCCCAGCCAACATCCCCAAACGAACCTGCTTGCTAGGTCCCATGAGCTTCCAAGAAGATCACTCCCTGAACCCAGAATATAGTGGGGTCGGGAAAAAGAAGAAACCGCCTTGTCTGCACCTATAAATCCCACGAAATCCGTATAAGGCCACAAAGCCCCTGAACCCGAAGAGCCCCAAACCCTAAACCCCCAAAGCATAAGAGCTCGAAGCCCCCAACCCTGAGATACCTAAGCCCTTAACCCCGAAGAGCCCTAAACCACTCAGCCCTCGCTCTAAACCCTAAAACCCTAAACCCTCGCTCTAAAATCTAAAACCCTAAACCCTCAAGCCCTAAATTCCTAAAGCGCCGCTCTGACTGTCGAAGCGACTGCAGGGGACCGGCCTCGTCCTGTGGCTTTGGCTTCAAGACTTGGCCTTGGGAATGCGACTGCAGGCGCCCCAAAGGGATCCTTTAACGGGTTCCCTTAAAGGGATCCTACAAGGAATTTGTTTTAGGGATCTGTAGGGATTCCTTTCAAAAGGGAGCTATAAGGGTTCCTTGAAAGGGATCCAATTATCGGGGTTCCTTTCATTAACCTAGTAGTAGAGCAGATAACCTTTCACCCTTTTTGGGGTAGTATAGTCCCTATATGATCCCTCTATAACCAAAAAGGTTAACCTTTAGTTCCACCATGACACCCGACAAGTAGGTTAAAGGGATCTATAAGGGGGTTCCTTTACAAGGGGTCCATAAAGATTTTTTTCATTCGGATCTGTAAAGGTTCCTTTCAAGGGATCTAGAAGGTTCCTTTAGCGCGGTCTATAAAGGTTCCTCTCAAGGGATCTAGAAGGGTTCCTTGACAGGCATCTAGACTACAGGCCGGGCGCTTTCTTTTGTCTTTGCCATCTTCTGATCACAAGGGCTAGTGTTTTTCTTGAGTCAGAACGGTTTCGGGGTTAGAGAACTCATGTTAACACGCATCGTTTCCATTTTCGAAAGTGTTGCTTTTGTTTATGGGTGAGGTCCCGTCTAAGGGGGAGGGGTCATGACTTCTGATTGTGGTTGCCACGTTGGTCTGACTTGTTCTACAGCTTGAAACAAGCCCCAAGCTTTGGGAACCCCCGGAGCATCAGCCCAATTCCCAAACCCTCGAGCTGAGACTCCTAATTATAGCCTGCTTAGGAATGACAATGATTTTTTGTTTTTGTTCATATAAAACCCACGAGAATATTATATAACAGTTATATGTATATTATGTTTCTAAGGGGGGGAAAGACTCAGACCTGAATCCCGGAATCCCGTCGTTTTGCACACCCCGAGCCCCAAGCCTAAACAGCTTGAGCCCTTGAACCCGAGCTCCTACAATGCAATACAGCATAACACAATAGAACATAGAAAAATTGTGTATGAGCTTAACTAGTATCATATTACAAACGGGAAATCTACAACGTATTGGTTACACCACGCATGCCGCATGCCAGGAGCATTTGGTCTGTGCTGGCGGAGCAAGCCTGAGTTGAGCACTCGGAGTCGACGGATTTGTCAGGTTTTGGTAGGGGTTTCTGAGGCTTGGGAAGCATTTTGTTGGGGTTATGATTGGAGTTACAAGGATTCCGTAGGGTTTCTGTAGAGGTTTTTTAAATATATGAGTTGTTAACGGGTTTGATAAGGGTCACAGGGGGGTTCTTTGAGGGCTTGGGAAATACAAGGGCTGTATACGGATCTTATGAGGAGTTGGGGTGCAGGGTTTGGGGCTTAGGCTTCGAAAATGTAGGATTTGCGATTGAGGGGGTAAGGTCATGAGTTCACACGCACAGGCTCCGGGTTTAGGGGTTTCGGGTCTCGCGACCGAGATCCTCAATTTTCGGTTTTAGAGCCACTGTCGACTTAGTAGCTGAGTGGATACACTTTACACTTTTTGGGATAAATATTACCCACGATAAAACCAAAATTGTACACTTTTGGGGGGCCTACCCAGAGGCCCCATAGTAGTTCCTTTTTGGGATTGCCTTATAGGATTCTATATATGAACCCCAAAAGGGAACTACTTTGGGGCCTCTGGGTATGAACTCAGCAACTAAGTTGAGGTGGCTCCGCGTTCTTCTCTGCGCTCTTCGCCCTCGCGATCTACGACCTGTCGCGAATGTGGACGAGGCAGAGCGAAGGGCTCGCAAGGGTTCCGTTAAGGGTTCCAGTAGTCCATACATGTAGGGCCTAGGGGGCATTTTTGGATTTGGGGCTGGGAAGAATTTAGGGGTTGCTGGCTCCCAGGATGCGTAGGATGCGTGAAGGGCGTTAATTAAAGGTTTGCGGACTTCAGGGCCTCAAGCTTTTTGCAGGTTTGTTATAGTGATTGAAGAGCTTACAAACTCGAAATGTCTTTTAAGCTCAACAGGGTTTTAGGTTCGTATAGTATAGGGTTCCGGCCGGGTTCACGGGATGTACCAGAACAGTGTTTAAAGGGCTTGGAAGGTACCATACAAGGTTTACCGGGATTTCGTGCGGAAAGGGTTTGCCCGGCTGATAAAATTTCTGGGTTTCAAGTTCCACTTGTTCGGGCCGGGGATGTGTGCTATAGGCATAGGGGCTCATCCATGTATGTATCGTATAACGTACACACAAAACTGTATTCTAACTATGAATCCTCCATGACATGTTTTAGGTTTTGAAGCTACAGGATTTCAGGGTTTCAAGGTTCTGTAGGGTATGCGTTCTAAGTTCTAATATCCGGGCCCCTCCAAAATATCCATGTGCCGGAGCCTATGCCCAAAACTCGTATACACCTTGACTTACGAAAACCGCAAACCTCTCACACCCAGTTCGCAAAACCCTAAACCAGAAGCTTGATACTAGTAAACCCCAGCCCGGAAAACCAGACCAATTCAGGAAGATGAAGCCGCACTTCCGGAGTTTGGCCCACCTCGCTTTGAGCTTGGATTTCCGGTGGACTTTGGGTAGAGGTTTTGCTCTATGTTATTCCCAGTTTGGGGCTTAGCGTTTTGGGTTGAGGTCTTGGGTTAGATTGTGTTCGGAGTTAGGGCTTGTTTCTGGAACTGCCGAACCCCACCAGACTGTAATCCAAGACCCTATTCCACTTATCAGGGCCCTTTTCAGAAGCCTTAGATTAAGCATGATCCATGTCGTAAAGACATTAAAACGAACAAACAGCCAACGCTTCACAAGGCCAGTGCATTTCGGCGCAGCTTAACCCCTAAAGCCCTAAGAAATAATCCCTAAACCCTAGACCCTAGACCCAAAAGCCCTAAACCCCAAAAGCCCTAAACCCCAAAAGCCCTAAACCCTAGAAGCCCTAAACCCCAAAAGCCCTAAACCCTAAAAGCCCTAAACCCCTAAAGCCCCAAACCCTACAAGCCCTAAACCCCAAAATCCCTAAACCCCTAAAGCCCTAAACCTGGGAAGGGGAGGTCGGGGCTTTCCAAGACACCCCTTGGAGGGAATTACTTAGAAGGGGCCCCGACCCTGTAATAGTGGTATAATAGGAATATGTTTAGGGTTTAGGGAATAGGGTTTAGGGTTTAGGGTTTAGGGAATAGTGTTATAATAGGAATATAAATAGGGCGCTCATATAATCCTTATAGTCACTATTACAGGGTGGGGGCAGCTTCTAAGGAATTACCCGGAGGCCCCATCGTAGTTCCTTTTTGGGATTACCTTATACTTAGGGGTACTTAGAAATAGTTTTTCATTTTTTGTTATTAATCCCTAAGAAACAGCTAAAATTATGATTTTTGCTAGGGTTCTAAGTGCAGTATATTATAGGGTTATATATAGGAATCCCCCAAAAGGAACTACTTTGGGGCCTTTGGGTGTTGTGTGGGTTTGTGGATGTTTTTCGAGCTTTTGGGTATCAGGGTTGTAGGGCTTTGGGATCTTAGGCGGCTTGCTTTGGGTTTATGCTATGGGTTTCATGAGGGCTTCAAGGGTTTAAGGCTTGCTTGGCTGTCTGCGGGTTTCAGATGTGCTTGTTCCAATTGCTGTGTGGCAGCTGGAGTGAGAGGCCTTCGGTGGCTTGGACTCACCGGGGGTCGGTGCTGTTTTGCTTTGTTGAGGTTTCGGATTACTGCGTGGGGGGTTGCACGTAGAAGGTGTTCTGTAGATTCAGAAGCACCGGATCTACTTGGCCTCCTTCTCCGGTTGCTGCTGAAGGCTTCGAGCCTGATATCGATGCAATGCCCGTGAACGCTATTAAACCCTAAATCCTTGACGTTTGTCCTCACAGCCTCCCCGAACCCTAAATCTCAAAGCCCAGCCCGAACAAAAATCCTGCAACTGAGGGAAGATTTCTTCAATCTTAGACCCCGCCTTCAGCGTAATATGGTAGGAACCCTGATATACAGGCCCTTTCCATACAAACCCCAGAAGCCCCCCAACAAAAGCCCATGATGCCTCAGAGCACTCTTCAACTCAGATCCTTGCTTAGGGATTGCTTTCCCTGAGGGCCCATACACACTACCAATGTGGAATTTGGTCCCAAAAGGCTATCCTTATTGTGGTTTAATTTTGACAACCACCCATCTGTAGACCCTCTTGGTTTCCCTTAATGAAGAGCTGGAGGCCTCCGGCGGGCTCTTGACCGTCCGGAGCCCAGCAGTTCTTACAAGCGCTTCAGCCTTCGGGTTAGGGTTCAGGGGTTTGGGGTTTAGGGTTTGGGGTTTAAGCTTCAGGGTTTAGGGTTTACGGTTCAGGGTTTAGGGTTTAGGGATTTAGGGTTTAGGGGTTTGAAGCCGGGGCCCTTAACACTAAGAAGGAACACGAATAATCCTTGTGGTCTTCTATGGACATCTAACCCAAACCCCAATCTACTTCTTAGGCCACTACATTCGGGTCGAGGGTCTGTGATTTAGGGATTAGGGTTTGCAGGGCTTGGGTTGATTCAGTCCAGGGCCTATGAAGTGCTTTGGCTTAAGGAAGCCGGATGGCATATACGCCGCCAACCACCTGACCTCAGCCTGACCTCGATGGAGAATAGAGACCTAATCCTGAAGCAGAGGGTACTTTTATTTCATCCTTAGCAGAGCACTAAGCTCAAGCAACGGCTGCGGGGATTGGAGGTTTCGCGTTGTCAAAGGGCCGTAATAGAGGTTCAGGTTTTAGGGTGCTTCCAGGGTTTGTGATCGGGTCTTCACCGTCTTCTTTACAGCGAGTTAGAGGTCTTGTCAGGATGTTTAGAAAGATTCAGTTCTCTACAGTGGTCTGGGATGTCAGGTCTTGGTTTTGCATTTTAGGGCTGGCGGGTGCGCGCAGCTTTCTGGAGCCTGAACCCTGAGCCATGCTTCAGCCGGCAGCTCATAGAAAAGAAGAGTCTGACCCATGTGGTAATTAATCTGATTCAAGTTGATTGATTCCAATCGGTGCTGCGTCTTACACTTCATGCAGTGCTCCGGGTCTAGTACCTAAACCCTCAGCCCCAACCCCGAACCCTCGACACTACACCCCACGAACACCCAGGACCTAAACAAAGGCCAGAACCCAAAACCACTACATCCTAGAACTTTAGGTCTTGGTCTTGGTGGATGTTAGCATCGACGTGGCCCTCGGCCGCCAGTACACCGCCGGCGTGACCATGTCCCTTGTTCTCGCCGGGGAGCACAGAGGGGTTCAGGGCTTTGACGAATATAAGCTAGGAAACGTTAAGGCATTTGGGTGAAGGTGCTTAGAGTTTAGGATAGCTTCGGGCTGGTGTTGGAGATGTTGGAGCTGGGTTTTCCTTTGTTCAGGGTTTAGGGTTCAGGGGCTGTGCATCTAGGGTTCAGGGATTGTTGGGATAAACTCGTGAGGTCGTTTCGCCTCTGTTACAATCTGTAACCAAGACCCTGCACCTACCAATATCCTCTTGTATTCCGTTACATCTACCATAACAAACCCCAAAACCCTGGCCTTCTACGTACTGTGCGTCACCTTCAACCTGCATTTGTAGCTTTTTCCTTAATCCTACCCTAATTCAAAGGGTTCCTTGGTATTCGAAGGCTTTTGGGACAACTCATGTTTTCCCTTATTGGGCTTGAGAGGATCTTATAAACGAACATTTTCAAAGGCTCTCAAGAACCAACCTAGATTAGTTTGTTACGGCGACCCGAAACCCGAAACCCTGAACCTTAAACCCCCAAACCCTAAACCCCACACCCTGGACCTTTTAGGGTACTAAACTCGAAACCCTGAACCCTTGAGGGCGCCTTTAGGGAGGTTCTCTAAAGAGTTGCTTTATGGTTTTTTTTGGGATCCTTTAAGGGTGCTCAGCCCATACCTGGAGGTTCATGGGCAGTTCAAAGTGGGGTGATAAGTAAGGTAAATGTATTTATAACCTTTAATAGGGGACTTCTAACCCCACTTGTAACTACCCATGAGCCTCCAAGTAGACCCTAAACCCTGAACCCTAAGCCCTATAAGTAAGGTAAATGTATTTATAACCTTTAATAGGGGACTTATAGCCCACTTATGACTACTCATGAACCTGCAAGTAGTTGTCTGATAGCCCAGGCGTTGCTGACGTACCAGAGCCCGGTGGGGACCTCGGACTCAAATTTGTTTAAGCTTCAGTTAACAGAGTGCCTCAAGACTTATCCAGGGTTTAGGGTTTTGCGTTTTAGAGTTTAGGGTTTTAGGGTTTAGGCTGAGGGTTTTAAGGAATTTATGGTTTTGGGTTTTGGGGTTCAGGTTTTATCAATGCTTAGAATGGCATGAGGGGTTATGTATATATATATATATATATATGCTGTGGCATAAGCGGCATAAGCGTGTAGCGGTCATAAGGGTATAATGAATCTAGCGTGTATTCATGCTTAGAATTTGGGATGGTGTCGAGTCTGGACGAATGCCGAGTTGAGGGGTTGGGTGCTGCGTGTGAAGTTAAGCAGGTAAGCTTCTTGCTCTGAACCTGGTGCAGATGTAGAAATCAAAACCCCAAAGACCCTGCGCGTGCGACATCCCGAAGCCAAACCTTGAGCCCCAACGCTGAAAACGGCCCCGAACCCGGTCTGTGGGCCCCAACGCCTGAAGATGCGGGGCCTTAGAGCTTTCGTGTAATCCTTTAAATCCCACGAAAATTCGCATCCAAAGACAAACGACTTTAATCTAGGGACCTAAATAGTTACCAATACTATGTTGGGGTTCCTTATTGTAGTTATGGTATCATGGGCCCCCAAACCCTATTCTAATTATTAAGACCCTTACATTACCCCGCACAACACAGAGCTGCCGCGCCGAGGCGTTGGCAGTCTGCGCAGATCGCTTGCTTGTCAGGTCACGAGCACTTGGAGGATCATGGGACTTAGTATCTAGGGTTACAATTAAGGTACCTATACTTACAATTACTCAAACCCCAAATTAAGGTACTTATAGCCATACTTACTAAGTCCCATGATCCTGCAAGTAGGGCTTTAAGGGTCTTGGTGGTGCAGGGTTTAGGGTTGTAGTTAACCTATCGTCTCCTTAGTTAGGATCTTTTTTACATTTTTGTTCATATAAAGCCCAAGAGAATATTTAAACACAGTATGTTTATTATGGTTCTAAAGAGGGGTATAGTAGCTATTGGAATTGAGGGTTTAGGGTTGACGCTTCATCTTGTAGTTGTGGTTCTGCAGGGATTCTTGATACCGATTTCTTAGGCCGAAGAGATTGAGTTCTGAGTTTGGATTCTGGTTCAGTGTTTAGGGTTGAGGGTTTGGGGTTTATGGTTCAGGGTTCGTGGTTTGGGGGAAATGGTTTGGGTTTAGGGGCATGCGACTTGCCACTTATGAAGCCGTTTAGCCCCTAATATCCGTAGCCGCCAAACTCCAGGTTCGGAAGTGCAACAGCCTGATATTGGGTCTAAGTGGTCTTAGTACGTCGTAATGAGTAACGAGTAACGATCGCGCCTGTCGTGTATGCCCATTTGACTTTTGTGTAATCTACTTATCTACTCCCCTCCTTCTCTATAACAACACCCTATTCTCATCATTAAGGTCCCTGTATGGGTAGCTGTTTAAATTATTCAAATTAGGGTCCGCCAAAGTATTTTGAGGACCTCAACATGGACTCTAATTTAAAGAACTATACATATTCAATACACTGCCAGCTGTAGGACAGATCGGCGCAGGTACCTTCTCAAAGTGCTTCTAATCATGGACGAGTGTCTCGAAGCTGATACCAGTGAGATCCTGTTAGTGTGGAAATCCTAGTTTCACTCCTGAAGCCCTAACCACGATTCCTCAAACTCCGGAGCCCTTAACCCCAAGCCCTTCCTCAAACGTTAACATAAACAGCTTTCAGCACCTTGTAGTGAAAGCTTACAGCACCGCCAAAACCCAGCAAAGGGAGGAGTCCCCTTTACTAATCCCCAAACCTTAAAACCCAAAGCCCTAAAGCCCTAAACCCCAAAATTCCCACACCCGAAACCTGAAAATTCCCAAACCCTAAGCCCCGTACCCAAAGCCCTGTAAAGCCCAAGGGCTTTTGAATTTCGACCCCCGAGCCTCGGCTGCAGGGGTACTCCGGCTTTGAACACCTTAGCAGGAGCCCGCGTTTTAGGGCCTCGGGTTTTGCGGCGGGCTGGGAGTGACAGGACAGCCTGTGTACCTCTGTTTTCGAGCTCGGGATTCGGGCTCTTAGGGCTTTTGGGGGTTGAGGGAGTCGGGTTTTGGGTGTCATACGGGGCTACCCTTTAGGATTATAAGAATCTTTGGGCTACAGACTGGGTGGGTGTCCAGAATTATGTTTTGCATTATGTTTGCATTTATTTTGTGTTGCGGGTTTGCGTTTTTCTTGCCTATGCATTTGCTTTGTGTTTTGTGTTTGCATTTTTTCTGTCTTTGCATTTTTTTGTGTTCCGGGTTTGCATTTTCTTTGTGTTTTGTGTTTGCATTTATTCTGTCTTTGCATTTTTTTTGTGTTCCGGGTTTTCATGCTTTTGGAGTCTGCATTTGTTTTGTGTTCCCGGTTTGCATTCTTTTGGCGTCTATGTGTTCTTGGTGTTCCTGGTTTGCATGTGTGGGTAATCCCGCTACAATGCTTGCCTGCTGCCTCAAATCTTCGTTGTGGCTTTGAAGATGAACCTGAATCTTGGCTGCATTCTCCGGCTTTCCTCAAGCAATCCAGATTTGTCCCTGGTCGTTGCTGACTTGCTTTGTGTGTTCAGCCAATACGTCATTCCACAGTGTTTCGAAATTGACAGTTGTGAGGTTTTGCAACTAGACGACGTGCCATGGTCACTAGGTTCTGGGACTCAGACACTATCTTACGAGGACACTAGGCCTGTAGGCAACTGCGGATCATGGGATGGGCATCATCCAGTGACTCAAACTCGGGTGACGAAGCGGTGGCGGACGCGGATCGCAAATGCAAAAAAAACGCAACACATCAAAAAATGCAAACAGCAAATGCAAAAAAAATGCAAAAAAAACGCAAAAAAAATGCAAAAACAACGCAAAAAAAATGCAAAAAAAACGCAAACAAAATGCAAAAACATGCAAATGCTCCAGGAAACGGCCAATTTTCCACTTTTTAATGGTTTCGGCAATGGCCGCAAGCTTTTGCATTTTTTTTGCATTATTTTTTTGCGTTTTGGCCGGGCTCTGTTTCCAGGTTTGCGTTTTTTTTGCATTTTGGCCGGCCGCGGCTTCCAGGATTGCATTTTTTGCTGCATTTTGGTCGTCCTCAATTTCTGCGAGAGAACTTGCTGCGGCCGGGCAAATGCAGGCTTCTTGCGAACTTTACTTCATAGTTCACCATTCACCGCACTGCGAGTCACAACCAGTGCACGAAAGAAAGGATCGCAAACTTGGAGGCACGCCGTCAGTGTTGTTTAGGGTTTGAGGGCACATTCGGATGCGGTGCAAGTGATGTGTAAGCAGTATAACAACTTCCCCAGCGCTGGACAGAACTTGGTCCTTGAGTTGCTTGTTGTGCATTGGTAGCAAGCACCGCGGCCACCACCACCACCACCACCACCACCACCAGCAGTGCAAAACAAATCAAGCCTGCATTAAAAGCAAATTAGAAATGCAAAAAAAACGCAAGCTGCAAACAAAAGCAAACAGCAAATGCAAAAAAAACGCAAGGCGATTTTGAAATGCAAAAAAAACGCAAACCGCAAATGCAAAAAAAACGCAAGGCGTTTGAAATGCAAAAAAAACGCAAACCGCAAATGCAAAATAAATGCAAGTCAACATGCCCTGACCCTGGTTGGAAATTCCAACTGCACGTCCTGCTGTAGCCTGCAGAGATTCTTATAACTTTAGGATAGAGTGTCCCAGTTCCCACCTGTCGGAGCTCTGGGGGCTTAGGGTTCGCTGGGTTTAGGGTTTAGGCTTAAACTGCTTGAGTTAGGCGCAACTGGCCCAGTTCATTGTCCTGGTTTCTTTACCTACTTACCCCGCACCCGTCGGAATCCGTGGTCCGGGGTGGAGGCTTTCGGGTGTCTTACCTTTGGTTAGTAGGGAATGGAGGAGTGGGGTACAATTTCAATTATAACTACTATTACTACCATTCTTCCATTCCCTACTAACCAAAGGTAAGTTTCGCAAACCCTGAACCCCATTACAACATTCCCGAATGGATCCCACTGAGCCCCAGTAAATACCCTTCAAACCCCACGATATGACTAAACCTTATGCTATGTTTGCTCTAAACCCCAGACATCCCCAGACACTAGAAAGTTCTATCTGAATTCCTCGCGCAGACAATCTCATTGGGATCTCACTGGAATCCTTCTGCAAATTATACATTAGTAAGATATATATGTATATCACATATATATATATACATATGTATATATATATATATATATATATATATATATGGTATATATATATATATATATATATATATATATATATATATATATATATATATATATATCATATGTGTATATATATATATATAGATATATATATGTATATATATATATATATGTATATATCACACATATGTATATATATATATATATATATATATATATATATTAGGTATACATATGTTATGATGATCCCGATTTTGGGAAGCGCCCGGTCAGGACAAGCGCCGCCCAAAGAGACGCATCAGACGTCCGGGTACCCGGTTTCTTAAGGGTTTTAGGGTGTAGGGTTCAGGGTTTTAGGGTTTCGCACAGGGGCTTATAGGGTTTCTATATGGTTTAAGGCTTAAGGGTTTAGGGGTCTTAAGGTGTAGAGTTTAGGGGTTGAGGTGTCAGACGTTCAGGTGCACGTTTTCGCAAACGGGCTTATCGGGTTTCTAAAGGGGTTCTTTAAAGGGCTTTGGTAAGGGTTCTCGAAATCAGCGGATTCTGTGAGGTTCTACGAAGTCTTGGGGTCAAGGCTTGATTATCCGCTTCGCCTCACTCAAGAGCACGCAGACATCTGGTGAAGTTTGTACTATGCGCGTGCTTCGTGTTGGTTTGTCTGTCCGCAAGACTGGGCGTTTGTTCTGACCCTTTGCTTACGTTTGGTTAGTAGGGAATGGAGGAATGGGGTACAAGTATAACTACTGTTGCTACCATTCTTGCATTCCCTACTAACCAAAGGTAAGTTTGTGGTGGCCAAGCGATGGGCTCATGAGAAGGCCCAGGGACGGTGCCCCAGGACCAGATCATGGGGCCCGACGAGAATGGATTACCAAGCGGTCCATTGATCACCCGTCTGGGAGTGGTGAAGGAATCGTATCTGGACAACAAAGACTTTGATATCAGCAAGAGCGTGAGGCAATCAGCGAGAAGACCGTCCGACCTCGGTGCAAGTCGACGATATGAATGCAGCCTTCCGGTCTGCACAAGTGATCAGCTTGGAAGACTTCTCTGCAGCTTCTGCGACTCCTGCACCAATTAAGCCACCACCACGACTCACTACTGCTCCTACTACTTCTACTACTACTACTACTACTACTACTACTACTACTACTACTACTACTACTACTTCTACTACTACTACTACTACTACTACTACTACTACTGCTAGTGCTACTGCTACTGCTATTGCTACTGCTATTGCTTTGTATTCCTGCTGGAATATGGCTCCAGGCATGGCACCCGATAGCTTTTCATCTTGCTGTCGGTTCGGGGCAGAGGATAGCAGTCAGTTCTTGAGGCGCCAGAACTAGCCCTCGATTTTTCTGATCCCATTTTCGAAACACAGCCCGAAGCCTTAAACCCGTCACCTAAATTCTACATCCCCCATCTTGCTAAAGTGCACGACAACTTGACGCCGCAGGCCGCTAGTTCAACCCTAAATCCATTTCCCCCGAAAGTCCTACAGCCGTAATCCTCAGCTCGAACCCCGCTAGAGCCCTAATCCCAAGCTGTACACTTAAAGCCTAGTCCCTACTGCTTGAACCCCTACACCCTACCTACATCTCCTCCGTAAACGCCAAATCCCAAACCCTTACATCCTAAGCCCTACATCCGTGAACCCCGGATCCCTAAACAAAAAAATCCAAAACCAAAATCACAAAATCCCGAACCCGCAAATCCCTAAACTCCAAATCCTTAACTGCCGCCCTAGAGTCCCACGGCCTTGAGATGCCTTTGAGCCAGGCCGTAGCCCCCTTTAGAGCCTTGAGTCAGGGAAGACACCAGCCGCGATCTCGGGGACATCGTCGTGCCACCCTGTTGCCTCCCCTTCTGCGGCTTGGCTTTTAGACAAGGCTCAGGATTTCGAGTTCACTTTTTTGATTAGGGGTTCAGGGTTTAGAGTTTCGGATTCAATTTAAGGTTTAGTTTAGGGTTACTTCCTGAACAGCGTCCCTCTAGGGTCTATCATACGCAACCCCCTCCACGGTTTTCTAGTTTAGGGCTTCCTCAACTCCTCAACCCTGTTCAACTGGGTTGCCCTTTGGGATCGTGTTAATTTCCCCCACTATTTTGTAGAGAACCATAATAATACATAATTTTCAAAGGGCTTAAGGGACAACCCTCTTCAAGTGCTTGGAGACGGAACTCGTTTGCACCCAAGACGGCTTAGGTGGATTTCACGGCCGATACTTCCTCTATTCCCAGCCGGCAAGTGAGAAGGAGCAGGACCGGATCGCTTTCACTTCTTACCTTTGGTTAGTAGGGAATGGAAGAATGGAGTATAGTTATAATTACTACTACGACTACTACTACTACTGCTACTACTACTACTATCACTACTACTATCACTACTACTATCACTACTACTACTACTGCTACTACTACTACTACTGCTACTACTGCTACTACTGCTACTCCTACTACTACTACTACTACTACTACTACTACTACTACTACTACTACTACTACTACTACTACTACTACTACTACTACTACTACTACTACTACTACTACTACTACTACTACTACTACTACTACTATTCTTCCATTCCCTACCAACCAGCGGTAAGACTTTGGGTTTTGTAGTGTTGGTTCAGGGCGGACGGTGTTTGTTCGTGCAGTCGCACCGCAAGCTACAGACAAGAGCAAGCTGAAGCTCGGGCGGTTGGACAAGGCTGTGTTGGGGATCATACTTTCAACGAACAAGATTCGTTGTAGATCTTGAGCTTCAGGTTCGCTCAAATCTACGTAAATCTCAGCCCTGAACCCTAACTCGCTACGCCCCTACTCCCTAATCTTGAACTCCTAACGCCTGGCCCACCACCCTCGAAAGCCCCGAAGGCCGAAATCCTTCCCTAAACTCCGAACCTTTCCCCCCCACCCCCCCAAGAAAAAGCACCGTGAAACCCGAGACTTGAGCCTCAACCGTACCCGAATCCCAAAGTCTGAGCAAGAAGCCCCAGTTGTTTGTTTTTCTGAGTGTTGGTGTCGACGTTGCGCACTCTTCGAGCCAGATTCGGAGCCCGAAACTCCAAAACCCCAAGCCCGGAGCACAAAAAATCCACTTAGACTTAGACCTCAAGCCCGATTACACCCTAGATAAACCCTTAAGCCATAGGAAGCCCTAAATGCTCGGAAGCACCACGTGCTCCTTGGGCCCCATTCACTACCGATAATGTTGTAATATAGTAGCCGGAACAGCTACCAGTCTGAGGGTTCCTCATCAGTTCTACTTACACAGGCCCCTATACCAAGACCTTCTGAAACCCCCGTGTAGAAGCCTTCAAAGAGCGTAACGAAGACACCCCTACTTGCAATGCCCGGTGGCATCTGACCAGGAGCTTCTGGCACAGAGGCAAGCCCAGGCCAGGGTATGGTCAAACTCTTCTCTTCAAGATGGGCAGTTGTCAAAATTAAGGTCCCTGTTTTGGGACCATTACTATAATACGGCATCTATTGTTTAGGGTACCCAAGAAGGGAGCCCAATCCTGACAACCACCCATATTAAACACATCAATACTCATAACCATAATTTGTGTTAGCGATAAGCAGTCATAGTCTTGATTGTACGTAAGTTTTTTGCTTCGGCTCCCGGAAGGCCCGGAACCCTAAGCCTAAGCCCTCAAAGGCAACTCGGAGAAAGCTTGAAAGGTAAACCTCAAGCCCCACGGCCCTGAAGACCTGAGACTTTGTAGCTTCGAGCCTGAGCCAGAGTTCAACCCTCGCAGTCCCGAAGCCCGGGTCCTAAACCCCACAAACCTGAAGCCTTCAGCGTCCCGCAGAGCCTTGAAAGCCTGCAAAAATGAATCCAGAAGCCCAGTAGGTTCTGTCTCTAAACGGTTGAGGGACACATGCATTGTGGCCTGTCCATGAGGCAGAGTTGGAGCAGCTGCAGAAGGTTCATCTGCCAGAGTTTTTGGGGGCTAGGCAGTTAGGGTTTCAGGGTTTCGAGTTTAGGGTTCAGGGTTTCAGGGTCTGGGGCTCAGGGTTCAAAGTTTTTGGGTTTAAGATTTCGGTTTTTTTTCGGGTTTTAGGGTCTGGGGTGTTGGGCTTAGGGCTTTCGTAGTCTATGGAACAACAGGCTGAGTATAAGGTTTGAATACATGTGTGGAAAGCGACATCACAGGAGCACAGAAGTCCCCCCCCCCCCCCCCCCCCCCGGAAAAAAACAACTAACCACGATTTAGGGTTTGGGGGCCTATAATATTGAGCAACCCCTTATAGAAACCTTTGTAGATCCCTTTTTAGGGTTTTAATATTAAATCCTGATAGAAACCCTTTCGGACCCCCTTTTTGGGTTTAGGGAAGAAGACCATAGCTCAAAGACAGCCATAGGAGGTCCTGCCCGCCAGGAGCAGGAGTCTACCACCCGGCGCCTCCTGGAACTCGAGGCCTGCCGCCGGGGATTTGCCGAAGTAAGAAGTTTAGGGTCTTAGGGGGTTTAGGATGGTTTTCTGGGTTTAGGGATTAGGGATCTACAGAGGGCTTAGGGGTTTAGGATGGTTTTGGGTTTAGGGGTTTAAGGGGGTTGATGATGGTTTAGGGGGTTTATGATGGTTTAGGGTTTTGGGATTTAGCGTTTAGGGATTTAGGTTTAGGGGATTAGGATGGTGTAGGGTTTAGGGTTACGTATTCAGCATGAGTACACATCATTACCCATAAAGATCAGAAGTACTACTGGTTTTCCTCATTGCTAGTGCTAGCACCTTGTTGTGTGGTTCACATCTCAGTGTTCCAAAACTTAAACCCCTAAACCCTAAACCCAGACCCTGAAACGTCGGGTGGTTTGAGGTTGAAATTGTATATGTCAAGGGCCCTAAAGCTCCAACATGGCCCTAAGAGGCTTGACTAAACCTTAAACAACTGAAACCCTAAACCCCTGAACCCCTAAACCCCTAAACCCTAAAACCCTAAGCCCCAAAACCCCTAGCCCCTAGACCCCAAAATCCCGAACCTCAAGAGGCTTGACGCCCAAACCTGCGCCGGCCGGCGCCTTGAAGCTAGGTATTACTCATCCCCGAAGCCCTCTGCAGAAGAATGGTGGGATCCTGGATGCGATTGAAGGAATAACCCCGTGAATCAAGGAGCATACCTTAACTTATAGTAGGATCCTGAATAGGACTTAAAGAATCAATCGCAATTTCCCTTACACCCGGCATAGCGCTTCTGCAACATTGCGAAGGCCCCGATCAAACAGCCTCGTTGAGTCATAGAGTCATAGAGCCGCTTGAAGGCTTCACTACTTGCAAGTATCCGTGGTTCTTATGAGAATCCAAAACGGGATTAAAAAGCACTCACAACAGATTCCAAAAGCCCGGTAAGATTACACACAACCCCACAAAAAGCTCACTTGAACACCTCCCAGTGAGGCGCAGCTGGAGTCACTGCATGCGCGACAGGCCACAAGAAACCTATGCCTGAAGAACCGAATGACCCCTAAAAGTAGGGGCCCTATACCCATATACTATGAATCCCTATATGGTATATGAACCTTAAACCCTTTTTGGGGTTCAGTTCGTCCTTAAGCTAGGGCTCCTTAACGGAATCCTTGTAGGTTCCTTGAAGGCTTCCTTGAAGGCTTCTTAGGAGGTTTTCGGGTTTTCAGGTCTGTGGGGTTTATAGGGTTTGAAAATTTCGGGTTGAAGGCTTCATGAGGGCTTAGCGAATCGAGGTGCAAGGGTTTCGCATTTAACTTGATGAATCGCGTTGCGACGTTAAGCCCCTAAACCTTAATCTGTAAACCCTACAAGACCCTAAAACCTAAACCCCTGAACCGTGCTTAGGAAGACTTGAGGATTTGCGTGTGTTGGGGGGTTAGGTTGAGGAGCCCTAAACCCTAAACCCTTTTGGGGTTCAGTCGTTGCTTCGACACCCGCGGCCCTTGCTTTTCATGGGCTCCTTTTTTAAAGACGGAAACCAACGATCCCCAGTGTAGACTTTAGATTTATTAAACCCTATAAGCCCTAAACCCCAACACCCTAAAGCTTAAAGCCCAAAGTATTCCGCCAAAGGAACCCTTCTCTCGTTGAGTTCAAAGTGGGGCAATTCTCTGCAAGCCTTGACAAAATACGGATGAGCAAACCCTCCTCCTTCAAACGGCCTCAGAATAAAGCAACTCCTTTTTAAACCCTAGAGAGACGAGAAGATGCTCCTTTAAAAGGTATCATAATGAAGCAGCTCCTTGTAAAACCCTAATTGCACACTACAATTGTAGAATAAGGCATACCAAAACCCTATTGCAGTTATTAAGGTCCCGATAGTACAAGACCTGCTATAGAGACCATGAGACCCTATAGAGACTGCAAGCTAAAGAGACTTTAAGACCCAAAAGAGACACAAAAGCCCAGCTGAAACCATAAGCATAAGACCCCATAGAGATTGTAAGACCTTCAGAGACGAGTATCCATATATGCACATAATTTAATTATATGCCGAAACCCTAAGTCCTAAACCATATATATATATATATATATATATGTATATATGTATATATGTATATATGTATATATGTATATATGTATATGTGTATATGTGTATATATGTATATCTGTATATATGTATATATATATATATGTATATGTGTATATGTACTTATATGTACATATGGAGATTAGAGTGATCCGCAGCCGAGCGATCCGCAGGCCGAGCGGGCTGCGGAGGAGCCGAAGATCTTCGAAGAGCAGCTGCAGGTACTCCGTGGGGCCTTGAGAAGGGGAGTAGGGCTCCTTTAAGGGTTTAGGGTTTAGGGTTCCTTTAAGGGTTTAGGGTTCCTTTAAAGTGTACGGTTGGCTTTTTGGCTTCGGTTTAGGGTTTGGATGGAGTAGGGTCCTTGAAATGAAAACAAAATAGGGTTTCTTTTAAGGAATGTGTAAGGGCTCTCTAAGGGGCTACTAGAAGGTTACCTTGAACGGTTTCTGTAAAGGGTTAAAGAAGGGTTAGCACAGGGGTTCGATGATGTATTGGCCTCAATGGTTCGTCGAGTTCAGATAGGTTTGGGATTGCTGTGGGCTGTGTCATAGAAGGAAGGGTCATAGATTTAGGGCTGTGGTGTGTGAATTGAACTTGGGGTGGAGTTTGCTTTCGGCTAATCGGGTTAAGATGTCGTGGCGTTTGTAAAGGATCTTCGAGATTGTCAGAACAAAGAGTGCTTGGGCTTCATTGCACGACGCAGTGTTATTTCGAATGGTTTGGTAACCAGTGAGCCCAACTACTCACGTCCAGACACTGAAGCTGCCACTCGCTGCAATACCGAGATTCTTGTCATGGACGAAAGATGGAGCAACTTGTGAAGAGCCAGGCCAGCACATTCAAAGTCACCGAATGCCAGCGAAGCATCAATGTCACCGTTCTAGCTCCCAGAGCCTGCACACTCAACTCGGTTCTTGTTAAGGAGTTTATTCTAAGTTACCACAGTAAGGAAACCATGTTGTGTACTATAGATCCCTATTATGGTAAATTAAGGTAAATCCCGCAAGAAGATCCGAAACTGCCGGGAGCCCAAGGACCCCACCACTTGCGAAAAACGCACCCTGCAACCCGAAACCATGAAAGATCCAGCCACCCCCACGCCAAGCCCTAAACCCGCTACCAACCGCAAACCAAAAGCCCTGCCTCCAGAAGCCCTGACAGACACCGTATAGCGCCCTTTTAGCTACCCGTATAAACAACCTGACGAAACTCCTTGACGGCGGTGGATGCCCTGATGGCCGGGCGCTACCTGGAGCCCGTTGCCGCGGATGACGAAGCTGCACACAAGCTCGCACGAGTTTCAGGGTTTAAGGCTTGAGGTTTAGTGTTGAGGAGTTAAGGTGTTTAGGGATCTAGGGTCTAGCCTTCAAGGAAAGTTGCTCCCTGAAGGACGAAATTAGAATCCTAAAAGGGTTTAAGTTTAAGGCTCATATACCAAAAAGGGATTCATAGTATGTGGGCATAGGGCCCCTACTTTGAAGGGTCATGTGGTCCTTCAGGAACCTCGCATGAGTTTGCGGTTCAGAACATCAGAAGTTTGGGGTATAACTCCGAGTATGCGAGCAAGGCTGGTGAATTGTTTGCCAGGGCAGCCTTTTTCAAGTAGCTATATTTGCTCCTGCCATTGCTACGTAAAGTATTACTTCGACGTCAATTTTCTTTTTTGCCCCAAGTTGTCCACTGTATCGTTAGCGTGAGCGTTCATGGACATCTGTTTCCCCGTTTGCTTTAGGACCGCTCTTCGTAACTGAGTCTTGAGTTTAGCTTTACTTCGGTTTTTCAAGGCCATCTTTGTGCAGGTTTCGCCATCCCAGTATAGAGCCCTTGGATAAGTAGTTGGATTGCCTGGCTTGGTCAAAACGTTCTTGCCCTGGATGTCTCATGGGCGTGGTTGTCAAACTTATGGTCCCTTTTGGGGTCCCTATTATAATACGACACCTATTATTTAGGGTGCCCAAAAAGGGACCATAATTTTTTCAACTGCCCGTGGGTGCTTTCGTCTGCTGTGCAATGCCTGGGCTTGGGGCTTCCCCAGACTCGCACCCGTTATTCAAGGCACAGAGCGCAAAAGCCCGTGAATACTGGGTCCAAATCCCAACCCTGAACTCCCCCTTTGACTGTGGAACTCTTCAAAAAAGTTGATTCAGGCTGCCTTAGCCCCAACTAACCTACCTTTGTATGGACTATATAAGGAAACCGTATTATGGAATCTTCAACAGGTAGGCCTCTTCGGCTCCAGGTGGATCGTGACTTGAACCCGTTTTGTCGAATCAAGCGGCAAGAAACCCCAGAAAACCCAGAAACTCCAAAATGTGCGTGAGGCTTTCGTGGTACTGGCACCAAAGGCAAGCTCTGTCTATCACTGTGAAACCAATCAGGCTAAGGGTTTTCTGAGTTCTAGAAACGCTCAAAAGGGATGCATTAAGACACAGACTGCCTGGGTTTTGCCGGAGACGAGACCCCAAGCGCTAAGCCATGTAGCAGTCCCAGGCAACTTCCTTGGTGCCTCTTGAATGCAGCTTCGAGGTTGCTCTTCCTTCCTAAGTTCACTGCAGGGTCCCTTTGTTTCCTTGTTTTGCAAGTGCGGTATCCGGGAGCACTTAGGGCCCGCACACTGAACCAGAAACAAGCGACAGCCAAGCTGGGAAACCAAAACTAAGACGGCCCGTAGCGAGGTTGAGGCTTCAGCATTCAAGGAAAGTTGCTCCCTTAAGGACGAAATGAGCCCTAAACGGGTTTTAGGTTCATATACCACTTAGGTGGTTGTCCAAATTAGGGTCCCTCTTTGGGTCCTCAGTATAATACGGCACTAAATATTTCGGGTACCCAAAAAGGGACCACAACACTGACAACCACCCATATAGGGGTTCATAGTATATGGGTAAACCCTAAACCCTAAACCCTAAACCCCTAAACCCTAAACCCTAAACCGTGGGTCTAGGGCCCCTGCTTTTAAGGGTCATTTGGTCCCTGAAGGGGGCGAAGCCTGAAAACTCTGAAACTCCAAGCCCGAAACCCAGGGGACACCATCCCGAAACCCGCAATTTCAGTAGTACCCTTATTCCCTTTTTGTAGTCCTAGGTTCCTTATAAAGTTACCCAATGCCAAAAAGGGGGCCTTGTTTTTCTAGGCTACTGGGCGTCCCAGGGAAAGTTGCTCTGCGGAGTGCCACGCACCCGAAGCCTTGCCTGCGGAACCACGCGTAATGTAGGAGCCTATATCATTACCTATTTGGGGGGGGGGTCCTTATTGTAAGTATCGTAAGTATAGTATGATGGGCCCCAAAACCCTGTTCGAATTATTAAGGTCCCTATATTCTGCAGCAATCTTGCTTGGGTTTGTAGGTTAACTTTTCTCAGAGCTGCCGCCGTCGTCAGTACTCTCGTCGGTTCTAGCAATGTTGACCTTGTTGCGCTTGCTCACCGTTTCCTGCGCAGTCCTATTCAGACCATGGGCTTGCAGCTCACGTTCTTCTAATGACTTGTGCCGGCACCATGTGGGTGGTTGTCAAAATTAGGGTCTCTTTTTGGGTCCTTATTATAATACGGCACCTAATATTTAGGATACCCCGAAAAGGGACCATAATTGTGACAACCACCCATGTGCATCTTTTTTTGGTGCCTACTTTAACTGTAAGAACGACCAGGTCACTGTCGCACTGTCTGTGGATTAGGGTGCGTCTAGGGTTAACTTTCATGTCACCAAGATCCTTACATGGTATCCTTGCTTTACAAGTACTGGGCTATCCTTTGGGATCTTTTTTCATTTCTCCTACTATTTTGTAGAGAACCATAATAGTGAATAATTTTCAAAGGGCTTAAGGGGTAACTCAGTTTACATGTAGTAGGTTTTCTAGGGTTTTGGGGTTTGGGGGTTTGGGAAAGTCTGGACCCAGGAATATCTGGTTCGGCAGGAACGAAGAGGCTCGCCGCAAACTCCGTCTAGGCTGTGATGCAACCCGGAAGCTTGAAAGGCCCGAAGCCCAAAACCCTTAAAGCCTAAACCCCTAAATCCTAACCCCTATATATAAACCGTAAACCCTAAACCCTACGCCCTAATCCCAAAACCCTAAGCCCTAAACCCCAAGCCCTAAACCCTAAGCCCGAAGCCCAAAGCCTCTAAAGCCTACACCCGTCAACCTCAAGGCGCTAAATCCAAAGCCCTGAACCCTGCGCCTAGAACCCTAAGCCCTAAACCTTACAGTTCAGGGCTTCTTGAGCTTGTGGCTTTGAGTTGATGGACCCCAAAATCTCCAAACCTGAAAGCCAAAAAAAGCCTCAGGTGTTGAGGGTTTTTAGCGTTTAGTGTTGAGGGATTGGGGTTTAGTGTTTAGGGTTCAGGGTTCCGGGCAAATCCGTTCTGGCAGATGTCATAGGCCCCTGCAGTGTATGGACCTGAACAGTCAGTGGTATTCCGTGGGGTTCCCTGATGTTTATGGCAGGAAGCCACCCACACCCGAGTCTGGTTCCCTCAAGCCCGTATATCCCAAGCCCACTGAGGCTGAAACTACACCAGCCCAAAGCCCTGACGCTGTAATCTCTACACCCCTTCTAAATTCCTTAACGAGAATGGGCTTTAGAGCCCCTTATATATGATGTTCCTGGTTCTCGGTTCGCCTTCCCCCCCCTCCCGGGCATGCTCCGGTCCAAACCTGCCGAATCCCTGTGACTGCGCGCACTTGGGTTTAGGGTTTAGGGGCTGCAAAACCGTCAACTGTCACGAGGACCGCGTCCCAAACACACCCGATCCTTGTGACGGTGGACACTTTCCAAGCACTGGTATTGAAAACGCAACCGTCGCGATTATCGCGTTCCTCAAAAGGCCCGGTTCCTGTGACAGTTGACCTTTCAAAAGGAAGAGGATGATGATGACGATGATGATGACGGTGATGGTGAAGGTGATGGTGATGGTGATGATCCCAAGCAGACCCGACCCACCCGAGGAGGGGAGGCACCCAAGGAGACCCAAACCGAACCATGCCACACCACCGGGGAGAGGAGAACCACCGCACAGTGCAGGCGGGGCAAGGGAGTACCAACCATTGACTGGGAGGGGGAGGGGCGGCCGCACCGGGACCATATATTTCAGTTTAACCTTAAACGTTAAACGTTACAAGAACACCCTAAAGCTCATCGGAAAACCCCTGAGCCCCAGGCTTTATAGGAAGGCCCCAAACTTATAGGAACAACCCGAACTTTATAGGAAAGCCCTACATAAAAGCAGATCCCGAGGGACAGGAGGAGCAGTTGGAGCTGCGGCCAAATGGCACCGCGGCGATACGAAAATGGGGGCTTCGGGTTTAGGATTTTGGGGTCTTTAGGGTTTTGGGGTTTGGGGCTTCGGGTTTAGGGTTTTGGGGTTTGGGGCTTCGGGTTTAGGATTTTTGGGGTCTTTAGGGTTTTGGGGTTTGGGGCTTCGGGTTGAGGGTTTTAGGGCTTCGGGTTTGGGAGTGTACTTAGGGTTGCAACGCGTTCAGAAAGTGTTTGAGGTGTACTATCGAGCTGTATATAGAAGTTTGGAAGGCTTCGAGTTTAGGCGTTTCGGACTTCACTTACGGTTTTTGGTTTGAAGATGTTGGGGTTATTTGGAGATCGGCCTTCAGGCTGCTTCCGACTGTGCTCTTTAGCCATGGAATATTTAGGGTTTAGGGTTTGGGGTTTAGGGTTAAGGGACTTGTAGAAGTATTTTACCCGAAACCCTAAACCCCTAAACCTTAAATGCGCGTATCCGCATGACGTTCAAACAACGTTTGAGGGGCCTTCCCTCCGAAAATCACCCCCCGCCCCCCGCACCATGGCAGATCAAGTTGGGGGGCTTCTGCGTCCGGCTTTTAAGGGGGTAATATAAGGGCCTTAATAGCTACCCATACTATTTTTGCGGGTTCCTTATTACAAGCATGGTATAACGGGCCCTCAAACCTTGTTCTGATTGTTAAGGCCCCTATATTAGGGACAGTTCGGGGCTCAGGAAGAGGAGCAAGCCGTAAGCCAAAAACTGAACTCTAGGGATCAAAATCGCCCAAAAGCCTATTATATACATTGGTCTTTGGGCCCAGAACCCTTACTATATGAGTCCTGAGATCACCAGGGTAACTCTACCAAATCTTAAGTTCAGCTGTCGGTTACCTGACTGCCGCCAGCGGGTTCCGCGCGAGTTCCGGTTGGGCTTTATGTTTGGGCTGCAGGGTTCCGGGGCCAAGACCTACGCTCCAAGTTTGGGGGTTTAGATTTTGAACTCGTTTTGGTTTGCCTTGTGCTTTATTCCAAAGCATGCCTCTAAACCCGCACCGGAAGTCCTAAACCGTATACCCTCTTCCTCAATCTGAAGTCCTTCAGTCGAAAATCCCCCAGTCCTAAGCTGTGAAACCTGAAAGCCCTAACCCGAAAGCCTGATACTGCGGGTTTAGGGTTTGGGCAACAGTATAGAAGCCTAAATACATATTTACCAATTTTCGCCCTTAGGAGTCCTTGTTATATTCATACTAGAATGTAACCCCCCAAACCCTATTCAAATTGTTAAGGGGCCCCCTTAGTAAATCCTTCTAATAGCCCCTTATAGTGGCCCTTATAGACCCCTGAACAGGGAACCCTGTTCTGACTGAAAAGGCCCCTGCATTATGGTACCCCTATAGATCCCTTATAGAGCCCCTGAAGGAGCCCCAAAAAGGAAGCCCATTCTTTTTTTTAAGGCCCCTGCTTGGAGGATCATGGGACTTAGTAAGTATGGTTATAAGACCTTAATTGGGGTTCTAAGTAATTTTAACGCTACGCCGCCCGCCTCGGGTGAGGGGGCAGTCGATGTTTTTTTATGCTAGGGCGGCCTGTCAAACCCGGTTGTTGATACGAAGTGCGAGGAATGGGTAGGGGAGGGGGGGGAGGGGGGGGAGAGGGAGGGGGAAGCGGGGGGGGAGAGGGGAGGGGGGGGGAAGGCCTGGGAGGGGGGGGGAGGCCGACAAATCCGGTAAAATGAGGGGAAGCCGGGCAAGGGGGTGGCAAACGAACGCAAAAAGCGGGTGTCCCCAAACATTTGGACTGCATGGAGGAGGATTAGGTGGAGGGAACCTGAGCTAACCCCCAAGACGCCTGGGCCTGTGGCCTCGGCGGATTATACGTATAGTTACCTGAATTATACCCCAAGTTACTAAGTCCCATGATCCTCCAAGTAGGCATTCGGGCTTCAGCGCTTTAGGTAATGAAAGGGGCAATACTGGGGCCTTGATGATTAGAAGAGGGCTTTGTGCCCCTTTATGGTGTAACCACAATCAGGAACCTCCAACACCCTAACTATTAAGGCCCCTACATCACGGTGTTTAGGTTTTGGGATGTCGGCCCCAAAGAGCCGAACCTAAACAACAAACGCCTGAAATCCGAGTATAGGGGCCTACATGGGTGGTTGTCAAAATTAGGGTCCCTTGTTGGGCACCCTAAATAATCGGTGCCGTACTATAATAGGGACACAAAAAGCGACCCTAATATTGACAACCACTTCATAATTACCGATACTACTTTGGGGATTCTCTTTAAGGAGCCCCTTAAACGGGTCTATAAGGGAGCGAGAGTACGGTTGTATATTTAGGGGCCTTAATCATTACCAATTCTGGGGGTTCCTTTTTAGGGTTTGGGGTTTAGGGTTTTTGGGGGCTCCATGGTACAATTTTTGTATCATGGGCACCAAAACCTTGTTCCAATTATTAAGGCCCCTATAGTACCGCCCCGCTTCTCTCGAGGTGGCTTTGTGCACTCCCTTGTCCATGAAGACCAGCAGTGACCTGGTGACAAGCGCGTTTCGCGTGTATGGTTGTCGGTTCAAGGGATTTTTAGGGTTTCGGGTTTCCTAAACCCGAAACCCCAAACCGTAAACCCTAAACAGCAAAACACCAAAACTCTAAACCCTAAACCGTCAAACCCTTAACCCTTTGTGGATTTGGTTTTAGCACCGAGCGAATTGAAGTCTGAGTATGAGCTCGACAAGACCTATAGTCTGCATTGTAGTTCCTGGTCTTGCTTCAGCCATTAGCCCTAAGGGTGCAAGTAGTCCCTATTTATGGTTTTTGGTACCCCAAATGGACCCAAACTCCTATAATAGGGAGTACTTGGACCCTTAGGGCAGGGCTTAAGGGTTTAGGGATTCTGACGTCTTCAAATTGGTTAGCCAAAAAAAGAATTGCAACGGAGACTGTAGTGAACTTAAGGAGCATAGCAACTACAGTGGAGGCTTAGCAAACTCTGAAGCCTGAGCGCCCAACCGTCCGAACTCTCGTGCCTGCACTGTTGATAGCAAAATCCCACATCACCTGTAACAGGGGACTTGTAAGGAGTATACCAGAGTTTCATGCGCTTCAGCCAATGCAGGATTTTGATCATTCTCAGCCCCTGAAGCCGTGAACCCAAAACTGTAAACTCTGAGCCCTCTAAACCCCGATTCCCTAAACTGGGAACCCTACCTATAGTCTTCATTGTAGTTCTTTTTTTCTGGTTTAACAAATTTCATGTTATGGGGTCCTATAAGGAAACCCAAAACAGGAACTACAATGGATACTATAGGTAGACTCTATAAGCCCTAAACCCTATTCCCGACCACTCGCTATCATTCCTTGACTCTCCGGATTGGGCGGTTGTCAATATTAGGGTCCCTTTTCGGGTCCTTATTATCATACGACACTTAATATTTAGGGCCCTAAACCCTAAACCTAAAACCTTAAACCCAACCCTAATTTTGATCGCCACCCGGATGCAAAGGTCGGGGGACCAGGTTTCCGTCAAAGAGTGCAGAGGCGAGTGGAAGGCCGGTCTTGAGGGTTCAGTGAGAGCCGGAAGGACCAAGGCTATGGGTTTAGGGTTTAGGGTTTGGGGTTTAGGGTTTGGCGTTTGGGGTTTCGGGTTTGGGGTTTGGGGTTTGGGGTTTGGGGTTTAGGGTTTGGGGTTTAGGGTTTGGGGTTTGGGGTTTGGGGTTTAGGGTTTAGGGTTTATGGCTATGGGTTTAGGGTTCAGGGTTTGGGGTTTAGGGTTTAGGGTTGATATTCCATTGGGCTCCGTAGAATAGTCATGGTGTAATATACCCCAAAACCCTATTCTGGCTTTTAAGGCTTTAAGTTAGGGTGTTAGGAATTTAAATTTTATCCGACGATTTCTGCTTTTAATTAGGGGCCTGGATCATTTGTTCTCCTACGCCTCGGAGTTCAGGGTTCGGATTTTCGGGTTTAGGGTTTAGGGTTGCTTCCCCCCTGTGCTCTAAAGCCTACATGGGAGTTTCCGAAAATCGGGGGCCCTCATATAGCACCTTAAATGGTAGGAACCTTATCATAAGGACACCCAAACAAGGTACCCCTAATTCGCGGAAATTCCCTTAAACCCTAAACCCTTTTACAGAACCCTTATAGGATCCCTTTAAGGAACCCTTATAGATCCCTGTAAAGGAGCCCCGAATTCTCTCCTAAATGTTGCAGAGCCCCAGAACGAAAAGTTCATGTTTCGGCTCGGGGCGCTAGTCTCGCTGTGATGGTGTTCTGAACCCGGCAAGATCCCTAGGACTTCAAAGAGCCCAAAGTAGGTACTATCTGGGTGGTTGTCACAATTATGGTCCCTTTTCGGGGTATCCTAAATATTAGGTGCCGGATTATAATAGGGACCCAAACAGGGACCCCAATTTTGACAACCACCCATTTATAGACTTTAGAGCCCAAAGTATAGGTACTATTTGTATACTTGGGGTCTTAGGGGTATGGTCAGGCGTCTGGCGTTCCCAGCCCCCCCCCCCCCCAATGGTATGGTCTGACAGGGGTGGGGGGGGGGGCCCTGGCGTGTGCGGAAAGGGGTTGGGGCCGTTGGAGCTGCCGCTAGATGGTGGGGCGGTGCTGGCGGCCAGGGCTCACGCGCAAGCCCTTCACAAGCAAGCCGTAAACCCTATGACGCAGCCCGTGCCCCGATTTTGAGCAACCTTAACTTGTACTAACCCTAAACCCCACCTAACTGCAGGCTCTAAGCCTAAAGCAGAGCATACACCGCAAATCCTCCCTAAGCCCTTGTCGACTCGAAGCCTTATACCTTGTAGCCGTAAACCCAAAACTCAACAGCTTAAGCTAAACCCTAAACCCCAAAACCCCACAACCACCCACAGAGGGAAGAGGAACCCCACACCCCACACCACAGGGGAGGGGGGGGGCCCCACCTTATATCCGGACCATTGACCTTTGGGGGGGGAGGGGGGGGGGCTGCGGAGCGCGTGACCATATATGTAGACCTGGCTCCTTGAACAAACCCTGAACTAACATATGGGTCTGAAGACGTAGTAACAGGATACCCTTTTGCTCCTGATACTTGCGAAGCAGACAGGCCCCACATACAGTCAAGCACGACATCTTCAAGCCTGGGTTGGCTGTCGCAAGTTCGAGGGCCGGCGACGGAGGTTGCCGTCTTCATAGTGGTACATGGCTTGGCCTGAGACGCTCTTTCAACTGAGGTACGGACATGTACTTAGGCTGTAATCAGTGGAGAAGATTATGTAACCTTACCCGGTACGCGCGTTAATCCTTAGAACAGGGTGCTGGGGTAAAACTATACGGCGAGGCTTGGATTCCTAGATTTGGTTTTTTGGGGTTTGGAGCGTAGGGCCTGGAACTGACCCGAAAAGGTTGACGGCCAAGATTTAGGTGTAGGGTTGAGGGCTTCAGGCGTGTGATGTCGGGTCCTGAAGACCGTGGCCTGATAATTCAGGTCCCGCTATGAGAACCACGGGTAACCCGCATCGACACATGATAGACCCCCCTTAACAGGTCCAGCTATCAAGGCCTTGCATTCCATACGAAGCTTGAACCAAAATCAGAGTAAAACCTTATAGAAACTCTTGTAGAAACCATTTGGGGGACTCTACTGAAAACTGCTGCGAAACGCTGAAACTCGAAACTTAAACCCGGAAACCCTAAGGGTCCAAGTATCCGTGTATCATATACTCTCCAAAATAGTAACCGACGCAACTACTATCCTAAACCCGGGTACCTAGTTATTGGGTCCTTTGGACCCGTAGGGAAAGCTCTAATACCCCGCAATCCTAAGTCTTGAAGCCTTACGCCCAAAACCTTCAATACCCCATACTGCAGGGGCCTTAATAGTTAGAATAGGGTTCCTTCGTTTAAAAGGGGTCCTTAAGGAGCTCTATAAGGGATCTATAGTAGGGTTCTTTTATATGGGCGCCTTGGTAATTCGAATATGGTGTTGGGGCCATTCTACTATAATGACAACAGGGAACCCCCAAATAGAATAGTATAGGTATGTCTTTAGGCCTATTACTCTAAACCCTACACCCTAAACCCTAAACCCGACACCTTAAACCCTAAACCCCCTATATTGCGACCGACAGGTCCACCGGGTGAAACACCTCGGCGCGGATCTCAACGCCGAGGGCGACCGCGAGATCGAACTGAAGGCGCACAGCGAGGGATCTAAACGGGTTTAGGGTTTTGGATTTTGGGTTTTGGGTTTTGGGTTTACCAAGAACCGACCTTTTTAAGGACTTATATAAGGAATTACAATAATAGGGAGCTCTAAAAAGGTAGGTTCTTCAGGGTGAAGGTAAGGGGTTCATAAGGGTTCCTTCAAGGGATCTAGTGATAAAGGTAAGCGGTCGAGGAGGGTTCCTGGGCGGGATCCTTAATTTATGGGTTCCCTTTTTTGATCCATTTGGGTTCCGTTCTGGGTTGCGAGAAGTGCTACTAGATGGGTCACTTTGATGTTTATGCTGAGGGTTCTTCTGGTTTAAGGCTTTAGTTCTTTCTTTTTTTTTTTCAGAGGTTTCGGGTCTCATACGTGTTCAGGGTTACTGTAGTTGGGTCTCATATGAGTGGTTTCCATTTTGACTCGTGCACATCCAAGAGGTTATTAAAGATTTGTCGTTAGGGGGTCAAAGGCTCTCAGCGAAAACCCTAAACCCTAAACCTTATATCGGATGGTCCCTGCGCAAGGATGACACGCACAAATCGAGAAGTGTACCAAAAGAAACCTTATATCGGGAGCATTTTGGAGTTCAGTGCAGGGCCTTGCTTTTCTTTGAAGCGGTGTAAGCTTTGCGGGTGGGTCGGCTTCTTCGTGCGGTTCAATCTCCTGGCGAGGTTCAGGAACCCCAAAGCCTAAAACCCTAAGGTTCCTTAAAACCCTAAGGTTCCTTAAAACCCTAAGGTTCCTTAAACCCTAAGGTTCCTTCATCAGATGCCGAGCCAGCGATCGTGGATCGCCTTGTGGTTTGCGGCACAGCGCCCGGCGTCAACGGCTTCCAAGGCTTTGCGAAGGGTTGGGGGGGAGGGTTAAGGTTTAAGTGGACCCCAAGAGACCTACCGTTTTGGGGTTCCTTAATCTGGATTCCTGAAAAGTCCATAAAAAGGTCGGTTAGTTGGGGGTAAGGTTTAGGGTCAAGGGCCGAGGGTTGAGGGTCTCGAGGCTTTGGGTTTTAGGGGATGCTAAACCATAGACTCGAAACCCTTAACCCCTTAAACTGACCCTAACGCCTGAACCTTCCACCCTAATCCTAAACGTATTACAATGTGCCTTTTTGGGGATTATACCTTCGCATACATGCCCATTTTATGGTATTCTGGGCTGCACGGACCGGCTGATACAAGCTGGGTACGTGCAATGCAAGGGTCTACGCTTTCTGGTTTTTTGTAGTTCAAGGTAGACTCCACATGCGCGAAGCCGCAAATTGTCATCATGAGTCCTGAGCCATACCTTACTTAACCCGGAATAGCTTGCCTCTTTAAGGACTTATATAAGGAAATCATAATCAGGAACCCTACAAATAGGTTATTCAGGGTTAAGGTAGCCCGTAATCCTTTATGAATCCTAAACTCCTCAATCCTACACTCCATGACATCCCTCAGCCCTGATCCCTATGCCCTACCTTAATTCCAACCAACCTCTCTCTTATGAGGATATCAGATTAGGGAGCCCTGACGAGGTTGGTTTCTTGGGGTCCAGGCAAAACCTGAAGCCACATAACTACCGCGAAGTAGTGCCTTTTTGGGATTACCTCATAGGATTCTACATATGAACCCAAAAGAGGAACTACTATGGAGTCTGGCGACCCTAAACCCTAAACCCAAACAGAACCTGGAGGTGCCGCCTGCCGTCTCTACCCGGAGAACTACCATACGCCATCGAAACCGCGTGCGGCACCTCCTGCGCCTTCCGCGGAGGAGTCTAGGATTTAGGGTTCAGGGTTTTTGCGTTCTTGTTGCTTCTTTGTTTTGACTTTTGGGCTTTGTTCTTGCTTTCGGTTTTGACAATCGTGTTTTGTTTTTGGTCTACAGCAAGGTGTGTGGCTTCCTGTGACTTGTCTGCTTCATAAGAGGAGTTTAGTGTTGTTATGAGTATACGGCTTTTTTGGTTTCACAAGGCTTTGACCGTTTTCGTGTCAATTTAAATTCTGGCTTCCGTATTCGCCGTATTCGCTGCCTTTTGGGTTGGTGGACCTTGTCAAGATTTTGGGGCTTGGCGAATCGGCAGGGTCAGCGCTCTATTTCTGAAACTTGGCTGCATGGTGTCTCACGACTGGGGATTTCGACTTTGGCTTGAGGGATAAGGGTTTCGGGCTTCCGGTATAGGGTGTGTGCTATGACTGGCATGACGCGAGAGGTTGATCATGTTTGTGATTATTGTTGTTGCAGCAGTACTGCTGCTTTAAGTGTTTAGTTGTAGTTCATGATGCGGTTGGTGATGACGATGATGATGAGGAGGGGGAGGAGAGCCAGCACGATCCTGCATGCCCTTTGCTGATTGCAGCCATCGTGCTAGCATGGCGATGTTCGATGGCCTTTCCTAGCATTTCTGATGTTGCTTGCGGGGGCAAAGATGTCGGTGTCCATGATGACGCTGTTGCCTACGGAGAGACAAAATCCTGAAGCTAACCAGCCCTCGGCGACACAAGCCGGAGCTTTCCAAAATCCGACAACCCTTGCCGAATCCTCCCCCAAGGGCCTCACCCTGCAGCCCTAGGCGCGCACAAAGCCTTAAAATTCTAGAAGCCAATATGCCGGCAGGAATTGCAGGTACTCTCCGAGACAACCGGCTTTTCGCACCCCGGCTGTTGGGCAAGCTCTTGCTGTTATCTATCTTCCATTCCATCTATCTATCTGTCTATCTATGTCTCTATGTATCGATCTGTCCTTCCATCTGTCAATCTTTCTGTCTACCTGTCTTTCTATCTTTATATATCCATGTACTGATTATGACCCTATCTTAGCTTGCTGGACCCGACATCCGACAGCCTGCGCCAAAGCCCAGCCTCCCAGACCCGTCTTGAAAGTTTACATCACATGGAGGTTGAAACAACAAAATCGGAGTTTCCAATCATTAGGGGTACCTTATCTGGGGGTCCTTATAATACGGATCATACTACTCAGGATGCTATATTGGGGTTCTCTGTTTTCGGAACCCCCCCCAAATGTGTTAGGGTTTAGGGTATCCCGTTCCAAGTGCTTCTACTGGGTTTCCCTCTCCCCAGATGTTTAGGCCGCCCCCCTAGACCATGGCTGTTGATAATTGGCAACCCGAATAAGGACGCTACATATTCTGAAATACTCTCAAACACCTGCTAACCTTGAACCCTTCACCAGGACTCCTCCGCCGAAAGCCCGAAACCCCACCCTGAAAGAGCTTAAACTTTAACCCAAAGCCCACGAACCGTAAATCCAAATCCCCTAAACCCCTAAACCCTATACTAGGTATCGATTTTCTTTTAAACTTCCCTTGTTGTTTACTATAAAGCCCTATATAAATACATACATATCCATATATATATATATATATATAAATAAATAAATAAATAAATAAATATATATATATATATATATATATATATATTGGGGAATTTGATGAAATCGACACCCTAAACGCAAAAAAACCCTAAACCGTGGCTCTTTGAAGCAAGGACGGAGCGATGTGCGGCCTCTCTCCGTGCCGTAATTGGGGCGAACTCCCAGTCGGACGAGTCTTCGCGCGCGGCACCCCCGCTTAGGATTTCAGGCTTTTAGGCTCTGGGCTTTGGGGACGTTAGGGTTTTGGGGTTTTTTGGATTCCAGGAGCTTTTGTTTTCTTGCTTGTGGGGTTTAGGCTTTAGGGTTTTAAGGGTTTTGCTAGGTCCTAAGGTCGTTGTTCCAAACTCTTTGAGAGGTTCTTCGAGTTCAGGTTCTAGGATGGGTTAAGAGGGTCCGGGATTTACGTTAAGCGAGGGGTCTAGGATGGTATGTAGGTTTAGAGTTTTTTGTAGGGGTTTCGGGTTTTAGGGGTTTTGGGTTTAGGGTTGAATTTGTTATCTTAGGGCTTCAGTCGACCATCTCTGGTTTGGCCAAGTTAAGCTCAAACCCCAAACCCCTAGACCCTAATACCCCTTAAACTCCCAAACCCTAAGCCGCTAAGCCTTGTGCCTTGAACGGCCCAAACTCAGACTCTCCGCTTCCGGGACCTAGACGTGTTGTTGCTCAGAAGCGTTCAGCCCTTTACCCAAGCACCCACGGCCTGAACCCACGCTAAGCCCCCAAAAATTAGTTTTTTGTGGTGCATCTGGCATTTAAAATTTTTTGTGGACTTGAATATTGAACAGTAATTAACACTCACCCCCATCTGAAGAAGGTTTTTTGGTACTTTGTGAAGCATTCACCAGCGCCCCTGGAGGCTGAACTCTAAGATCCGAACTCCTTAGATTGGAAGCTGCAGCGCTATAGCTTTGAACTATAGCACCGTCAAAGTCTGCCGGAAAACCTCTGAGCTTTCAAACCCTATACGCCCCAAACCCCAAAACGCAAAACACTTCTTGATCGTTTGCAAAGAAGTTTGTCGCAACAAGAAGTGGGGCCGATCTGCCGTTCGATTCTCGAACGTTGCCAATCATTTGCCGGTGATGAGCTGCACAACGTAGCATGTCGAGCTGCATATTTAGCAAGCTTTCTGGCGGAAATGCAACAGTCATCGGCCCCAGCCTCAACATGGCAATTAGTGGCCGGGTTGTCACGGCTACATGATGTTCGTTGGCAGCGCGCAGGCTCGTGCTTCATGGTGGAGCTTGTGCCCTTTGACTCGTACATGCGCAAGGTGGGCGCACAGGTGTTGGTGTTCACCGACTCCGACATTGACCACTTCACAAGTGGGCTTAACACAGCCATAGGCCTGGATGCGATGGATTTGGTCGAGCACCGAGGCGATGCGCGCGATAAAGAAGTTCATCATCTGCAGCAAATCCTGAATAATCACGAAAAAACCATGCAAGAAAGCCTTTGAAAAGCCCTACGAGAGCTCTGCAACCTTTCTCATCCTCAGAATTGCCTATGCAGGACGGTCAAGCCCCACAGAACGTCCTAAAACCTTCACAGCCAAAATCGCAAACAACCTAAATCCTCTATCAAATCCCAACAGACACCCTAAAGTCCAGAAATCTCACCCCTCACGAACCCCTAAACAGAACTCCAAAAAGGAACCCTAAACCTTACACGCGAAACCCTTACAGCCTAATCCTCTAAAGCCTAAACCGCACACCCTAAACCCCTACCTCTTAACCCCATGGAGTCCCTTCAAGTAACACTAAACCCCTACCTGTAGCCGAAAAGACCTACCTTTTTAAAACAACTATATATAGAAACAACAATAAGGAAGCCTAAAAAGGTAGGTCTTTCCGGCTACAGGTACACCCTAAATCCAAGGAGCCCTTTAAAGGAGTCCTAAAACCCTTGAAAGGAACCCCAAACCCCGAACCCCTAAGCGAACCCTTTGAGGGATCTCTAGGGTTCTCTTTAAAGGCTCCCTTAAGTGATCTATAGAGAACCCTAAGCCTAAACCCTAAACCCCAATCCCTAAACCCTAAACCCAAACCCTTAACACTAAATCCCCCATACCCTAAACCCCAAATCCCTAAACCCTAAAGCCTCTTCTTTAAAAGGGGCACTTAGAACCCTAAACCCTTTAAAGGAGCTTTTTAAGTGAACCCCCTTTCAAGGGGCCCCAAGCCCTCTAATGGAGCCCTCCAAACCCAGACCCCCGGGAGGATCTAGAAAGTAGATCCCTAATTTGGGGCCCTATACTTCTCAGGGTACTGTATAGGAACCCCCCATTAAGGGATCTACCCTAAACCCTAAACCCTTAAAGCGACCCTTAAAGGAACCCCTAAAACCCTATAGATCCCTTAAAGGGACCCTTAAAGGAACCCCCCATTCAGGGATCTACCCTAAAATCCTATAGATTTCTTAAACGGAACCTTAAGGGAACCCCCATTAAGGGATCTACTTTTTTTTGGATCCTCCCGGCGCCCTCCAAAGGCACTCCTCGAGGCGGCGGCCTCGCGGCTCTTCGAAGAGTCGCCTCCCAACGACACGGCCGCCGCCTGGCGCCGATGGGGGTGGTGGGAGACTTCTTTAAGGGGTTCTGTAAGGGTTCTTTAAGGGGTTCTATGGTTTAGGGTTTAGGGTTTAAGGTGTAAGGTTTAAGGTTTAGGGTTGAGGGTTTATAGGGTTTAGGGTTTATAGGGTTTAGGGGTTTGAGGGGTTTCGGGGTTTGGAGGTTTCTGTAAAGGGTTCTGTATAAGTTTTCTTCAGTGGTTCTTTGGGTTTAGGGGCTTGAGGGGGTTTGGGGTTGAGGGGTTCAAGGGTTTAGGGGTTTGGGTGTAGCGGTTTTGGGTTTAGTGTCTAGGGTTTCGGGTTTATAGGGTTTAGGGTTTGGAGTTTTCTTTACAAGGGCTCCCTTAAGGGTTCAAGGTTTCTGTAAGAGGTTCTATCAGGGTTAAGTAAGGGTTCCTTTAAGGGTTCTATGGGGTTTCTTTAAAGGGTTGTATAGAGGGGGTTGTTAGGGTTTAGGGTTTGGAGGTTTAGGGGTTCAGGGTTAGGGCCGTTTCGGTCTAGGGTTTAGGGTTCATAGGGTTTAGGGGTTTGAGGGGCTTGAGGGGTTGCAGGTTTCTTTGAAGTGTTCTATGCAAGTTCTCTTCAAGGTTCAGGGCTTCTTTAAGGGATCCTTGTTCAATTTTGTGGGTTTAGGGTGTTTAGGGTTTGAGGGGTTAAGGGGTTTCGGGGTTTGGTTCAAGGGTTTAGGTTTCCTTTTTTTGTATACGTAGATAGATGGATCGGTAAATCCATAGACGGATAGATCTGATGAACGATAGATGCCTAAATCTTCTAAGGGCTTTCAACTTCCCAAACCCTACCTATCGTCTCCTTTGTGTTACTTTTTGGTTAACCAAATTTATGCTTTGGATCTTATAATATACGTTTTGTATCGTGAAACCAAAAAGGGTTACAATGGAGACATATAGGTCACACCCGAAAGCCCTTCCTAAGCCCTAAGTCACTGCCCAGCCCCCTTTCGTTCCAAGGCTGCCGCCACACCCGAGGTTTCTGAGGCGTTGCCGCACGGGGCTGGGGCTTGTGGGGAGGGGCCACGTAACTTAGGGATCTGATCCCCCCCATAGTCCCTGATTGTGTACAGTAGAATACACCCCAAACTCTCTGCTACCCACTAAGGCGCCTACGATAAAGACCCTCAGTAAAATGCCGTATGCAGTGTGCAAAGAAGTTTTTGGCTGTTTGCTGCGTTGGGTTTTGTGGGGTCCATACCCCGAACCTTAAACCCTAAACCCCAATGAAACCGAAGAAACCCGGCCCCGAACCCTAAACCCTAAACCCCAAAGAAACCGAAGAAACCCGGACGTTGCAGGTCAATACGGAATAAGTAGACTGGTCCATGAACCCCTGCCCCCCCTTGGTAAATCACCCGGGAGGATCCAAAACGTAGATCCCTTAATGGGGGTGCCTATAAAGTACCCTTAGTAGTATAGGTCACCAAATTAATAGGGGATCTACTTTCTAGATCCTCCCGGGGATCTGGGCACTTTGGAAGTCAGCCTAACACCAATCTCTAATGAAAAGCAACACTCAAACTCTACACCCGAATCCTCAATCCCTTATGAAACTGTATAAAGCTCATCTACAACTTGTACAGATCCCCTTGCGAAACCACAGACAGACTTTACAGAAATTCTGTGACACCATGGCACCCCCTTTTTGGAGCTTTAGAAAGCTTTGCATCCTAACCGAAGAAGCAGTAAACACTGAATCCTACAGCACACCCCGCACCTTGCAAATGGAACCCTGATATTCCCGTGTAGAAAAAAATTGAACCCTAAACGAACCTTGTTAAAGGTATGAGCCCTCAGCTCGAAACCCTAATCCCTGTAAACCTTTAATCCCCAAACCCGGAACCCTTAATCCCTAAACCCTTAACCCCCAAACCTTAAACCCGTAATCCCTAAACCTTAAGCCTCTTAATCCCTAAACCCTAAACCTTTAATCCCTAAACCCTAAACCTCTAATCCTTAAACCTTAATCCCTAAACCCTAAACCCCTAAACCCTAAACGTTTAATCCCTAAACCCTAATCCCTAAACCGAAAAAACCCTAAAGCTGCATTTTGAATACAAGCAAGAGCTCTGCAGGAGAGCATTCAGCAGCTCGTTGCCTGTACGGGGAGGCAGCGGAAAGGGGGTTTCCTGTTGGGTTCCCTTATAGAGATGCATAAGGGGACCTATAAGGGTTGCTTTGAGGTTTTAATGAGGGATTTTTGGGTTTACGGTTTAGGCCTGAAAAGTCTTATAGTAGAAGCCAGAAAGTTGGAACATAGCTTTAGGAGGATTGGTGCCAGGATCCCTTATACTTTACCTTAACGGCATGAGGATAATGATGTTCCAACTTTCTGGCTTCTACTATAAGACCTTTCAGGGTTCTACCTAAACCCTAAACCCTATAGACACTTATAGGAACCCTTAAAGGAACCTTTATAGATCCCTTGTGGATCCCTAAGCCCTAAACCTAAGACCACACAGTGGCTGAGACTTTTGCTGACGTCAGCCGAGAGAAAGCCAAATTGCTTTTTAAAACGATCCCTCTAAAACCCTGAACACTATACCTGAGGTTGTGGCTTGGGGACATCGGGAACTCTTGTGGCCGCGGCGGTTTACGGATTTAATATGATGCTTACAGTGTAAGGCCTTACTGTCTAGGATAGGGTTTCAATAGTATATCTCACTATAATCATATCGTTTCAACCCCGCAAACCCCTGAAGCCCTAAACCCAACGCCAAACCCCCAAAGCCTTGCATGCCAAGTGTTTCCGCCCCTACGTCCGAACTTTTACAAATGAGAGTATAAACCCAATGCCACTTTGAAGCATCAGTGAGCTCACACCCAGGGCCCTAAACCCTAAACCCTAAACCCCTAAACCCCTAAACCCCACATCCAAAACCCTAAACCCCTAAGCCCCAACAGCCCTATGCTGACGAGGTCAGAGAACGATTGTCGATCTGCGCTGCAGCAATATGGGCACCTTGGCTTGGGTTTCTGGCAACAGGCGGTATAGCGTTCCTTTTGAACGGGTCTATAAGGATTACCTAAAGGCGATTGTAGGGGTTTAAAAGGGGGTTTAGGGTTTAATTAGGGGGTTTAGGGTTTCGGGTTGAGACAGTAATATGGGGCTTCAATAGTTCCCAAGTACTATTTTGGGGGGTTCGCTTTAAAAGGTTCCTTACAGGGGTCTATAAGGGATCTATAGTAGGCTTCTTTAAGATAGGGGCCGAAAAATTGAATTACCAGTGCTATGTTGGGGGTTCCTTCTGAAAGACATCAAACACCCTGTTCTAATTATGAAGGTCCCTATGTTAGACTGGGTTGCTCTTGACACGCTCCTTTGGTTTAGTGCTTCATTAGTGCTTTTTGTTGGATTGAAGGTTTGGGTTTCGAAGTCAAGGGTCCAGGTTTGCGTTGTTCGGTTTAGCTTTAGGTTTAAACTTGAGGGTTTGGGGTCGAAGGTTTGAGTCTAGCGTACCCTAACCTATAAACTAAAGCCGAGCGGCGACGCAAAAAATAGCTCCAAGCTCTGAACGCCAAATCCACTAAGCCCTGAGCTTCAAACCATAAGAGCCCCTGGTTCGACCCATTTTGAGTTTTGGGGGGATCTATACGGCTCCTGCCTATTTCCTCAGTAGTACAGCTTGTTTCTTCACATTCTTGGGGCTTCCCAATAAAGCGATCAGTTTAGTGGTCCTACCCAGCGAAACCACAGTAACTTATGACTTATGACCACGAAGTCCTACATCCCTTAGCATTGAAGTTGAAACCTTCTGGCCTGCTGGTACAAGTGTTTTCTGGTACAAGTGTTAGCCTTCCGGGTTTGGAGTCTTGCGTCTAGGGTTTAGCGTTGTGTGTGTTTGTGGAAGTTCAGGGTTATGTCGTGCAGGGTTTAGCGTGTTTATGGCGCGTGCGGCAGCTCTATCGGATCCATTGCAGGAACGTGGATGCCGCTGCGGAAATATTGCTCGACGGCGAGGTGGGTTGCGAGCGGGATAAGACATTCATGTAGCAAAGGGGCCTGACGAATTACTTGTTACACTAAGCCTGACCTCGCCGACAGTACTAAAACACCTCAAAAGGCCAGTGTACATGCACAGGCCCCGGTACTAATGCAGAAGTTGGAAGATTCACAGCTCCCCAGCATGGCTTAACCACCTACTATCACCTACTGTATTTGCGGCCCGGGGAACTACTTGGGCGTACCGTAGTATAATACAGTAGTGCATAGTATGACCGTCTACTGTTGTACATTATAGTATAGCGCTGCAGTTACCGAAGGACTACAATGCGATACAAGTACTAGTTTTTCAGATCCGTGGCCACCGCAGGAGCATGCATGGCAGACACACTGTTAAATAAGTACAAAGCGAAGCCGGTGGCACGGTTGAGGCTTCTAGTTGAAAGTCCTCCCCTCGAAATCAATTTGTACGGTCCGCTGAGAGCGACTCAACATCGAATAACAATAACCTTCTTTTGCCGTGGCCACGCTGTAATATCCCGCGAGCCCGAAAACCCTGAGGCCCCCCAAAGCACCAACACCGTTGCAAAAGACTGCAAAGGAACCTTGGTAGGCCCTTTTCTTGAGTCCAAAAGCTTCTGAAAGGTCCAGTTGGGATCCTCGGCCGCGAGCAGCAGCAGCGCCCCTCCAGCGCCGGTGCCATGAGGGTTTAGGGCTTACCCGAACCCTGTAGAACCCACGTTTTCAGGGCATATCTGGTTTTTAGGGCTCCTTACTGTGAGAGTCTTATACGGGTCCTCAAAATGGTAGGTTATTAGGGGTCCAGGTAGGGCTTCAAATGAAGAAGCTTGGTACTATTCCCTAGAGTTCCTATTGTGAAGATGGGGGGGTTATGGGTTGTGTGGTGTAATGTATGGGCCTTGACAATTAGAATACGGCTTCGGGCTCCTGAGTACATTAATAATGGTACGGAACCCACAGGAATAATATTGGAAATTGTTCAGGCTTCTACATTGTGGTTGAGGGTTAACTGGGTCTCAGCCTCTAGATGGAACGCCTTAGAACACCCAAAATACACCGCCTTGAATCCTAAACCCGAAACCGAAGGAACACATGTGCAAATTCTTTAAGAACCCCTCGTCCTAAGAGCCCCAATACACACCTAAAAAGACTTTAGACAACCTTTGCAAAACCCTTACTTACCTTTTTTGACAGCTTAGAGAACCCTTGAAGAACCATGCATTAGGGAACCCTGTAGTGAACCCAAAACCCTGTAAGACACAGCGAACCCTCAACCTCAAAAGGACCCTAAACCTCAAAAGAACCCTAACCCCAAACCCCCAAAGAACCCTAAACCCCTCAAGAACCACATTTCGGGAACGTAAACCCTTAAACCCTTAAAGAACCCTAAGCCCTTAACCCTTAAAGAACCCCGGATTTCCTAAAAAACCGCTAAACCCTAAACACCTAAATCCTCAAAACCCCTAAGCCCTTAAACACAAAGCCCTAAACCCTTAGACCCTTAAACAATCCCAACCCTTCAACCCTTAAAAAAGGTAACAGCGCCTGGTACGTGACCGGCGTTTGGTGGCTTTGCTGAAACGGGCAATGTGCGAAAACCTAGGGAAAACGTGTATTATGATTAAAAACTTGTGGTAGGAAAGGCGGAGAATCCCTGTGACAGGTCGATCGTTTCAGCGAAAACAGTGCTGGCACTGCAGTAAAAAGCACTTTTGCGAGCACCGCGCTGCGCAAACTTCGTCAGCAGCACTTGTTGGCTGCTTCGCAGAGTGCTGCAAGACTTGCGTACACATCTGAGTGCATACGCCGGAACTGATACTGCCGCACGTACTGCCACATCCGGTCAAGATTGGCTGAGCGGCGTCCTTTCCCGGAGACTCTGTTGCGCAGCGTCTTCGGAATAGAGCCCTGAAGATGCATGCACACGCGGTCATTTTGCTGCGTGCCGGCCAAGCTAGGAACCCAAGGCGACGCCAAAATCTTCAGGGCAGGGATGCTCGGAGGTCTAAGTCAAAACAGATGAAAACTGGTCGAAAGCAGACTGCATGAAACCCGGAGCCTGCCCCAAAGGTCTCTTCGAGCTCGCTGAAGGGGCACCTCGCAAAGGCGGCCAGCTCGGTTGGCAGCTGCCCGTTCTGCTCTCGCAGAATCAGCAGGAGAGCCAATCCCACGGACAAGAGCTGCTGAAAGTTCGCGAAGGTGAGCATGGCTTCACTCAGAGCTACACAAGCCGTGGTGGATGATCGAACGTTCTGGGAACCTGCCATCATCGTCGTCTGTCAACATGTTGATCGGAACATGTGCGCTTACGCCTCGCTGAAGACTGCAAGCTTTGAGACTAGACACTTCACACTTCAGCCCGGAGTGGTTTTTGGCAGGAAGCTGCAGAAAGTGATTCGACGCAGAGCAACAAGCACACAACATGCTCCAAGCAGTCTCTGGGAGTTAAGGGTCGGCACAGGGCGGAATTAGCCCCCCCCCCCCCCCCCCCCCCCCCCCCCCCCCCCCCCCCCCCCCCCCCCCCACCCCCCACCCCCCCACCCCAGATATGTGCGAGGACGTACAGGACGCACACTAGGCGCTCTCACCTTAAAAAAGGCCTCTAAACCCTCAGACTTTTAAAAAACCTCAACCCCTTCAACCCGTAAAAGAGGCGGAGGCGGCTTCTGCCCCTGGGCCTTCGGATGCCCAGCGCCTTGTGGAGCTCACGGGCTCCTCGGAAGGGGAGATTTTCGGAGTGCCTCTGCAGGGCTTCATTAAAGGGCTCCTTTCAAGGGCTCCTTTTAAGGGATCTTAGGGTTCCTTAAAGCGTTAAAGGGTAGTTTAAGGGATCCATAGGGTTCTTTAAAGGGGTCTATAGGGTTCCTTAAAGCGTTAATAAAAGGGGTCCTTTATGGGATCCATAGGGTTCTTTACAGGGGTCCCTGAAGGGATATAGGGTTCTTTCAAGGGGATATGGCTTTCTTTAAAGGTTTAGGTTTCTTGAGGGGTTCAGGATTCTGGGTTTACGGTTCTGGGTTTACGGTTTTGGGGCTTCTTTAACGGGTTCCTTTAAGAGGTACAGGCTTCTTTAAAGGGTTTCCTTTAATGGGCTTCTTTAAAGGGGTCCTTTAAGGGATATTGGGTTCTTTAAAGGGGTTCCTTGAAGGGATAATTATATGGTTCTTTAACAGAGTTTTTTCAGGGATATAGGAATCCGGAGATTTTCGGCGCTCCTGTGTAGGGTTTAGGGGTTTAGGGTTCAGGATTCAGGGTTTAGGGTTCAGGATTCAGGGTTTAGGGTTCTGGGTCGGGTTTAGGGTTTAGGGGCTGGCTTCTGGCTTCGGAGATGTTTTGGGTCCTCAAAGTTAAGGGACTCAGCTTGCACTTGAACGCGAACCCTAGTGGCTCCACCTGTCAAGCTGATCCGGGCTTTCATGTTCACATGGAAGCCGGGAAAGTGGGAGACTCTTCCTAACCCCGCAGAACCCCAAACCATAAACCTGAAAACCCAACCCGAAACTGTCAACCTCACGTCCTCAGACCCCCAAAAGTGTGAACTAGCAACCCTCGACCACTTAGAATACTAAACCCCGCAACCCTAAACCCGATATGGCCTGCACTAAGCCCTAAATCCCAAACCCTAAACCGTAAACCCTTACCGGGTAGTTGTCAAAATTAGGCTCCTTTTGGGGTCCTTTTGATAATACGGCACCTAATCTTTAGGGTACCCAAAACGGCACCATAATTTTGACCTAAACCCTAAACCCTTAAACGAGCCCTAATCCCTGAACCCTTAAAGGAGCCCTAAAACCCTAAACCCTTAAAGGAACCCTAAACCGAAAACCCTTAGCAATCCGAAAGCCAACCGCTAGGTTTGTCCTTGGAAAAGTGCCAGGAGGCCTTGACTAAGGCTCCGGAAGTAATCGGGAAGGGGGCCAACAGAGGGTCCTTTAATCAAAGGGTACAGGGAGGGACCCCTCATAAGGACCCCTAGGTATATACCCTTAATATGGCTATTATATACCCATTTTATAGCCCATTATAGGGTAGGGGTCCCCATTAAGGGCCCCTCCTTTTCCCCTTTGTTTTAAAGGGAGCTCTAGAAGGGCTCCCTGAAGGATTCCTGATTCAGGCTTCCCTGAAGGCAGATTCCTTATAAGGGTTCCCTTCATCAAGGACCTTATGAGGGTTCCATTAAGGGTTCGGGCCCCCTGGAAAGGTTTAGGGTTTAGGGTGAAAGTTACTTGCATCAAGGTTGAGGTTGATTTCATCTGATGGTTTGAATGTTTGCCCACCCCGTACTGCACTCTGGGACTACGAGGTTCAGGGGCTTTATTGAGGGGTTTAAATTTTCGGAGCCTCGATCTGTCGTAGCAGGCCATAGTCGCAAAAATGCCCAAAGCGATGCACCTCGCAATTGGTTTACATGGCGCCCTCTAGATTTTGCCCCCTTCTCATTCTCAATGCTAGACGTGCAATAGAGTCTTGAGGCCCAATTTCGAGAAAATAATAAGGAGCCCTCAAAATAGTCTTGGTAATTATTTAGGTGCCTATATGATATATGAAAGGGTTCGAAGCCCGCAGAGGTGTCGAGCTTAGACGCGGCCGCGGCGCTCCTCCTTGATGGCGAGCTCCCTGCAGAGGCCCGATGAAGCCTTGATGGGGGACGAAGAATGTCGAAAGCCCTTCTTAGCGCCGGAGGCATCCCAGGAAAGTCGGGCCGCGGAGCCTGCGGAGGACGCCGCGGAGGATGGGGGCATGTACCTTGCTGACGAGGACCGAATGGCCTAGAAAGGATAGTAGAAATTTTGTACAGGTTTGTTTAGGGTGTGGGGTTTAGGGTAAGGGTAAGGGCTAGTAGAAGTTTGATAGGGGAGCTATAGGGGTTTAGGGTTTATAAGGTATAAGGGCGAGTCTTAGTTTGTAGGGGATCCATAAGGTTACTATGGTATAGGGGCCTTCTTAATCCTAGAGTATGCATTTCTGCCGATGACCGGACGTGTGCGTTTGTAGAGTAACTGACTTAAGATTCAGGGGTTAGGGTCTGGAGAATGGAGTTTTGCAGCCATTTCGGGTATATGCAGTCCTGCCATCATCGAAAGGTTAACCTGCTTCGGGCTCGTTTGGTGGCTTCCGGCTTTAAGTCAGGGGTGTGGATGTTGAGGCTTAAGTGTTCAGACGGCTTCAATGGATTGTTGGGTTCCCAACATACTTGTGTAGTTTCTTTTGTGCGTCTTGCGGAAGACGAGCTCGGTCCCGCGGCTCTTTGTCGCGTTGCGGCTTCGGGGCTTCGAGTGTGGGGTTTGGCGTTTGACATTCTGGAGTCCAGGGGGTTTTGATTTTGTAGGGTTTATGTCTGTTCGTTTAAAGCCATGTCCTCTGTAGCGCCCCAATACATTTCCTATCAGGTTTAAATGTTCAGGGAGGTTAGGATAGCGCTTCCTAGTCTACCGTGGCCTGCACGTTGCACAAGTCTGGCGCTCACCATAAGCTGTACAACCCCCAGGCCCCAGACATCGAACACCTAGAACTACCCTTTAAGCTAAATCCCAAACCCTAGACCTAGACCCTAAACCCTAGAAGGACTGTATACCATGTGAAGCTTCGAACCGTACAGGACGAAGAATCCGACGGCTGCGCTGACGACGATGCTCCAGAGGACACGTTATGATGGGTTCATCAAGCATGAGAGCTCATGAGGCGTCTCGCTGCGATTGCGTGCGTGCATGCTTGCTTGCATGCGTGTGTGTTTGTGTGTGTGTGTGTGTGTGTCTGTGCGTGTGTGTGTGTGTGTGTGTGTGTAGGTAGGTAGATCCCATTTGTTGGTACCTATAAGCTTGCCTGGTCGAACCTCCAGCAGGGGGTGGGTATCCATGGTGGATGTGTATTTCCGTCACTTCTCAGTGCCATCCTCGTGAGGCCATCCCCACAGAAGTTGAATCTTGGCCTTGTTTGGAGGCTCCAAGCAGAAGCCGCAACCTTTTCACATCGACCATCCCAAGCCCCCACAACCTAAAACAAGTCTCAATCCCCCAAAGAGTGTAAACCCTCAACCCCTAAACCCTAAAACCCTGCACCCGAAAGGCCTCAACCCTAAACCCTACATCCGTCAGCCCTAAACCCTAAACCCCTCTAAACCCCTAAACCCCTGAACCCTAAACCCTAACCCCTAAACCCCTCCTTAACCCTACACTCTACAACCCTTCAGCCCCAAACCCTAAATCCGAACCCTAAACCCCTCTTTCTTAACACTACACCCTACGGCCCTTTCCGAACCCTACTTCTGGCTCTCTTAAAAGGGACCTTATTGAGAGGGTCTATATCCCCGAGGGTCCCCCTAATCCTAACCCCTTCAGCCCCAACTCCAAACCCCTAAACCCTCAACCCTAAACCCTAAACCCCTCAACCCCAAATCCCTCAACCCTAAAACCCCTCTTTCCTAAACCCGACATTCTACAACCCCTCGGCCCCAACTCCAAAAGGACGACGGCGCCGACGCCGCAGTGGAAGAGCCTGAGGCTAAGCGGCCACGCACGGGAGATTCGGACAAGGAGCTGTGAGCTCTAGGGATTTAGGGTTTAATTAGGGTTTTAGGGCTTTTAGGATTTAGGGATTTAGGGTTTAATTAGGGTTTCAGGATTTAGGGCTTTTGGAGCTCTTTGGATTTAGGGTTTAATTGGGGTTTTAGGGTTTTTGTGGTTTTAGGGTTTATAGGATTTAGGATTTTTGAGTTTACGGTTTTTAGGATTTAGGGTTTTGGGTGTTTAGGATTTTAGGGTTGTAGAATTTTAGGATTTAGTAATTTAGGGATTTTGGGATTTAGGGTTTAATTGGGGTTTTAGGGATTTAGTGTTTTTGGTGTTGTAGGGGTTAGGGTTTTTGGGTTTGAGCGTTTTAGGGCTTAGGGTTTTTTTGGGTTTGAGGGTTTATAGGGTTCTAGGGGTTTAGGGCTTCAGGCTTTGGGGTTTTAGGGGTTTAGGGGTTTAGGGTTTTTGGGGTTTCGGGGTTTGGGGGTCCAGGGTTTAGGTGTGCCGGTTTCGGGTTCGGGGCTTGGGGTCGAGGGCTTGATACCGGTTTGATATGGTGGTCTACCAGGGTTTAGGGGTTTCGGGTTTAAGGCATTAGGGTTTATAGGGTTGTTGATATGGTTGTCTCGTGGAAAACGCGTACATAAGCGTTTACCAGGTTGACAGCAGGCCTGACATCGTTTATCTTGTGGCTTTGTACGGTCTTTATATTGCTGGAATTAGGATTGCTAAGTTGGGGCTTTAGGATACTCAAAATAAGGATCGTACCTCGTACCGCATATGTTGGAGTCCCTTGATTGCTGAAACCCACTCGGATAGTGCTTTAGATGTGGACCACGAGGGTTGGGCCTTCAGGTGGTAGAACTTCAGGCCTGATAAGGTGCAGGATGTATTGCAAAGTTCCCTAAATGGAATTCGACCTAGGAGATCCGTTCATCCTTCTCGGGATTAGCGTTCAATTCTGGGCCCTAAATCACAACCCCCAGACTAGAACCTAAAACCTTACACTCCAAGACTCCAAAACCCTAAACCCCTAATAACCCTCTAAACCCTGAGCACCAAAACCCTTAAAAAGGGATCACACATTGGAGCTCCTCAATCTTGAGCCTTCCGGAGACTTGCGCAGAGCCCTTCCAGATTCCGTGGCGAGCGAAGCCAAAAGGGTGCCAGGGCTTTGAGTTTCGGATTCAAGATAGGGTTTAGTACAAGGTTGAGGGTTTGGGGTTTATGCGGTCTTGAAGATGTTGATGGCATTATAATAAGACGAGGAACCCAACCGTGGGGGGGTTGAGAGTCTGGACGTAGAGTCTAGGAAATCGGGAAATTCAGAGGGCTCAGGGTTGTTGTTACTCCAGAATACAATAGAAGCCAGAAAGTTGGAATATCATTATCGTAACCCTTATAAGGCAAATTATAGGGGATCCTACCATTAATCCATATTCCAACTTTATGGAGTTCCCTTTATTCGGATGCAGGGCTTAGGGGTTTCGGTCATGCTATGCTTTTGGCGGCTCGATGGTTTTTTTGGGGCTTTGGGTGATGATGGAGTTCTGTAGGGTTTTGGGATGGCTGTAAGGCTTCGCGTTATGGCGCCCCTCTAATCTGTTTGAAAGTGTGAATATGGGAGTTTCCGAAAACAGTAGTACCTTATTGTGGGGTCCTTATAATAAGGATCCTACTATTTAGGCTACTACATTAGGGTTTCCAATTTGATGACTGTTTCTAGTCCAGGGTACTCAGCCGCTAGGTTAGATTCTTGAGCGCACTTGCTCCACGGGAGGTCGGATTGCGCGTGGCTCGGTCTGGCTGTTGTTGTGAGTTCAGGCTCAGTGGTTTAGGGTACGAGATCAGCAAGAACCTAACCCGAATCCCCGCAACTCTAAACGGTTTTAAAATGGGCTTCTGTGGGAAGTCTTATTATATCATATTTGTTCACAGCCGTCTCGTGCAGACCGCTTGTACAAAAAAGGCCGATGCTTGTGAGGGGTTCAGTTTCCCAGCACTAAGACAGTCTCCACCCGGAGCTCCCCATCCTCCGACCCAGCCTGCGAAGCCCTAACACCTCTCCGCTGGAAGCCTTGATTTTTCGCAGAGCCCTTGCTAAAATGGGAGCTTTTTTCAGATCCTTCTTGGCATCGGAACGGGACCCCAACCTCCTCAACCCTGCGTATCAGCGCAGTCCGAGCCCTCCAAGCCTCAACTTGTCATGCCCGAAACTCCTAAATCCCAAACCCTAAGCCTAAACCCCAACTCCCGAAATCGAAAACTCTTTGATGCCTTAAGCCCTCACTCCTAAGGTGCAGGCCTAAGTACCAGCCCTCAGCCCTAAACCTACACCGCAAACCCAAAGCCTGAAACGAAGCCTCCGAAGGGGCCAGCTTTTTCAATCCTACGACCCAGGCTTTCACTATTGACTCAGGTACCTTTTTCGAGGGGTCCCTACTCAAGGACTCGTGTCCAGGGTCCTGTCTACTTTCCACTGAAGCATTCCAGGACCCTGTCTACTTTACGATAAACCCCTCCCTAAACACCGGACCCTCACGCCCCATAAATCCTATACTAAATCTCAAGCCACGGATCGGAGCCCAAGCCCTGAACTCTGACGCCACATAATCTGGGCAGCCCTCTAAATGAGCGTCCCCTTTTATAAGGGTGACATATTGTTTCGGGGATAAAAAAGGGACCCTAGGGCCCCACACCCCTGAACCTTAAACCTCGGCCGGCCGGGAAACCCTTAGCCGATAGAAAACCTTGCTACCGAAACACCGAAACCGTGTTGCATCCCTTTTGCCTACCGGGCTCCAGGGAAGCCTCTGAACTAAACTTCCGCCCCACAAATCCCTAAACCCTCAAACCCTCAACCCTAAGCGTCGTACCCTCGCGCCAGTCGCGGCTGAACCAAGCACGGCTTGCCTTCGAGCAGCAGACGGCGAAGCTGCAGGTGGGTTGCGCTCCTTTTCCTTTGTTGTTGTTAAAGAGTTCTTTGCATCACCTCTTGAGAGGGGTTCTAGAAGGATATAGTAGAAGGGTTTCTGGGTATAGGATTTTGGGTTAGTGTTTTTTTCGGCTTTTGTCATGCTCTGGGGCTGGGGTGGGGAGTGTGGAGGTGACTTTGCCTTCGTTTCTTGCGGTGTGTCTTTCTCCTTAAGCTCCTTGGTTTGCTCGGCTTCTCCTTTAAAAGAGGCAGTCGGTGGTTTATATAACATCTACAGAAGGGGACGCCGTGGACGCTTGTTTGTTCTTTACAACCAACAGATTGCGGACGAGCTCGGCTCTTTGACTCGCACATCCACTGCAGTGCATCTTCCTGCTTCGCCATCCACCGACGAGGAGACCGCACTCCCAGTTCCTTTCCCAGAATCTCTGCCTGTGGCTTGCGGCAATCCTCCTGGGCGAATTGGCAGTTGCAATAACCTCCTCCAAAGCGTCGCCTCACCAGCAAGACTTCTATGGCATTTGAGACCGCGGAGAATTTGGAGACACCCACCCACATTGGCATCCTCGACGATGGAACCTCCAGCGAAGGCTTGCGATGACGATCCTGATGCGCAAGCAGCCCGTGACATGCACAACTGAGCCAGGTCAGGTCTTCGTGCAGCGACTGTATGAAAGGCGGAAATGCAAACATCATGCATATTAACAGCTTTAACACCATCCTGAAATGACGGTCTGAGTTTCATCAGAAGCTGCTGTCAGGGCAATCTCTGCATTTTTTTCATCTGCATATGCCCGTAGCTGGTCTTCTGTTCCACGTGCCGTAGGCTCCCGTGTCGCCATGAAACGGCCTTCCGCCGCCACAAGCCGGAAACGTCCATCAGCCTTCGCTCGCAGCTCTCACGTGTGGTAAGCGACTCTACGCCAGAACGGACAAGAACCCGAAGGCTATTCTCATGGGGGAGAAACCATTGCGAATGTACAGACTTCGTCCAAGGTCTGTAACCGCTGCAGAAACACTGCACGGTACAACATGTTCACGATCGGCAGCTCCTGAATTGCCTTTCGCTTGACCAAACGATAGATGCCGGTGTCCTCTTTATTACTTCCAAGATTCCAAGACTGCCTTCACCATTTCGTATTTGGAGATGACCTACTTTTGTCTGTTACGAGGCAAACTCTCCCCGGGACAAGAAGGTGCTGTCATGCATTTGTATCATAAGACAGACCATCGGCTTCCGTCTTCCCGACGTTTGCGCGAGCTCCTGTTGCGAGCACTGGAGGCATATGCAGTGGCACGACGATCTCCCTCGGTGTCTATGCAGTTCAACCTCGGCTACCCGGCCAGTCACATCGTTAGATTGAACAAAGTCTTGACCTGTCCTCCCTCAACGCCTTCTCGTTCGACTGTCATTTCGGGCTCCACAGAAACCTTTCCACATGCGATGCTCCGCGGACGGTACAGCTTAAAGGTCATCCGATGAAGCTCCAGCTGTTGAAGGACGACGAACGCAGTTGTTCTTGCAAACGGAAGGATGTTGGTCGAGCAGCCCTACCTCAGCGGACCGCAGGTTGGCATTTCGCCTTCGACCCAGATTCAAGACGAGTGCTAGGAGCGGTAGAGCATGTACAGAACGAGTGCAATGCTGACAAAATCACTCTCCTGAAGCCAGTTCTGAGTATGCAGAATGTCACAGCCACTCTGTTGATCCATGATGACATGTGCCATTTTGAAACCTTCGCCAAGAAGTACCATGCAAAGCTTTTCGCAAATGTGCGGCATTTCGTGATAGATGCCTTTCATTGCCCCAACCACACGTGCAAAAAGCGGGTGTGGAAAGCCGCCGAGAAAAAACGGTGCAAGAATGTCCGGACCAATGTTTCTGAAAGCTTTAATGCATGGGTCCGCGGGCTCAATTTCTTTGTAAACAATCTTCGACCACTGTCACATAGGTTTTGGGTCGAGGAAATGTGTCGTTTCTACAACGACAATTTGCAGTCTGCGCCAATCAGGATCCGCAGACGGACTAATGTTTTGGGGCGAGCCCGCAAGCTGCTGAAGCAAGCTGCTGAAGCGACCTTCGGCTGTCCGTGCTCGA